GCTTTAGAGGACTTTGTGCCCTTTGGATGGGAGCCTGGGACCAAATGACCCGGACATTGGCCGAGTGGGCATCTGGCCACCCTGCCTCCGGGTGTTGGCTTGATGGTGGAGGATGAGACAGACCCATCTGGGGAACATAACTAGGTGCTAATGTGGCACTACTGTCAACTGCTGCTCTGCAGTCCATTCAGGGGAGACACGAGCTATGGCATGTGGAAGGACTGAGGGGCCCCCATGGGTCCCCAGATGCCTCCTTCTGATTGCCTGTCTGGTGGACTCCCTGCAGCTGCATCCCAGGCACCAGCTCGGGATAGTCCTCCTGACTGGGTCAGCTGAGGCCAGCGACCAAGGACTTGGCCAGAGGACACTGGGCTCCTTCCTATCTCCTGTCCCAGTGCCAGGATGTTGTGACTATGGCTATTGTCATGCGCATAGACCAGGATGAATCTGCTACTCACTGTGTGACTAGCAGGTTGCCTGCACACCTCTGGTGACCTGGAGCTTGCTGTTTCCCATGGAGTTTCCTTCCAGGGAAGGATTGCTCTGTCTGCTAGAAATTCTTTCCAGCACTAAGCTGAGATCTGCTTCCCTGGACTTTCCTCATCAAGGCCAGCATGCACAGGAGTTGGGCTGCTCTTGGTTCCACAGCCCCTGCCTCTCACATGCGGCCCCAGGCCTGCACCCCCATTACCTGCCATGGACCCCAGCTGCCCTGCGGGACACACGCCTCCCTCCCCTGTCCCTTTCCCAGTGGGTCTCATCACCAGAACAGGTCCATGGCCTCCTTAACAAGTTCCCAGACTTCTGGCCCCACAGACACAGGCCCCACCAGCCCTTTGGCCGCCCCATGCCCCAAGTGACTCATCAAGTTGGCAGTGAACAACCCCAAAGTCCCCTTTCCACGTGCTGCCGCTGCTGCTGTGGCTGGGCGGCCCTTCCACACCAGAGTCTGTGTTTCCAACTGTGAAAGCCAAGTACAGCCCAGCACATGTCCATGCTCAGTTTCATCGTGTCAGAATTGGCCCTTAGGCCCAGCCTGCTGGGGTCTACGTAGTCCCAACTCCCTCATCCAAACATCAGCTATTCTTCCCAGCTTCCTGTCTTCTGTAAATCTGATGGTGCACAGGCTGTCAGTGGCTCTGGCCAAGCCATTGATAAACATGGTGAGGAAGGAGAGGGTGAGACGCAGCCCTCTCTGTTTTCCTGCAGAGAAGCAGGCCTGCAGAGACCCTTCGCTTCTCTTCACTCCGGAGTGTATACTGCCTCCAACAATTCTCATCTGTCCCTACGAGTTCTTGTCCACAGGGAACCCCCAGTCGGTGCCTACGAAGTCCATGTGTCCATTTAACAATCGAGTCTAAAATTCCAGCCTGGCTTAATGTCATATGCACCTGGGTAAGCCAGGCCCTGGATGCCATGCACCTAGCACTGAGCCCGCTTCAGCCCTGGGGCCGCCAGTCACAGAGGACATGTGACGGACAATGAGTGGATGCTAGTAACTGGAACATGCTAGTCACAGTAAGCACCGGGTCCTTACTATACACCAGGCACTCTTCTAGACCCAGGGTGACCCTCTGCATCAACCACCATTAACCCTATTCTGACTCCTGATGGGAACTGAGACACACAGTGGGTCAGGGACTTACCCAAAGGCACATTGCTCCCAACCAGGAAAGGGTGTGTACAGGACAGGAATGTCCAGAAGCTGCTAGGCCAGCCTCGTGGGCTTCAATGGGACACGAGTAGTGACTAAAGATGGTAAGAAAAGAAAGCAGGGGCTTGCAGTGGGTTTCTCTGCTATTCGCCGCTTCCCTCAGCACCTGCTTCCTGCCAGCTTGTCCTGTGCCAGACTGGGTTGGGCCTCGGGGAGGCAGGGGCAAGCACACTGACTAGATGCCCTGGGGAGGGCAAATGGCCACATCAGGGAAGGCATCCTGGCAGACATGACATCTGAGCGGATCTTGGAAAGAGCAGATGGAAATGTGTCAGACTGGGGAGGTGTGTGGGAGTAAGGGCTGGTGATAGAAGGTTCCAGGCTGAAGGAACAATACTGCGAAGGTGATCACGGTGGCTGCAGTGGTCCAGGCAAGGAGGAGGGGAATGAATCTGGCCACCCTGGGCCCACGGCCTTGAAGGAGTGGGGACTGAGGGCTTTGGGGAGCCAGCAAGGACGTCAAACAGGAAGGGACCCTCAGCAGCCCAGGCCGCCTGTCCACCCTCCATGGCCGAGGATGTAAGCAGCACTGGGCACTTCCCTGCATCAGATAGGGTCGGGGGTGGTGTGGGAACCGGGTGCCAGTGAGTAAGGCTTTTCTTGCCCTCCCCACGAGCCCAGCAGCTGCTGCCTGCTGGGGTCTGTGTAGTCCCAACCCCCAGTGCCTACAAACCCCCAGTGGGCACCAGTGGGACAATTACCAGGTTGAAACAGGCTGAGCCCTGGAGCCCAGCAGGCTCCCAGTCACCGCAACTTTTGACCCACAATCCCTGGGCCTTGCATAGTAGCCAGATGGTGTGGGAGGGAGTCAGAGCTCTGGGCGCCCTGATGCTCTCCCCTAGGGTCCTCAAGCACTCTGGGGGCTCCAGGAGCACCTAACCAGGCTGAGAGTCGAGGGGCAAGTATCCGCGTTCCCCTCGCCATAAATCTGAGGCAGAAGAAAGGAACATTTGCAGTCATCCTTGGAGAATCTCCTGCTCAATCTAGAATCCTTCCTCTATCACCCCAATAGCAACCATCGCACCCCAGTGGGATGCCTCCAAAGCTAGAGAGCTACCACCACAAATCTGAGGGCTGCCACCGTGGCGTGGCACTCAGGAGTCCTTCCGTGGACTGAACCACACTGAAATCAGTCGGCCAAAACCAAAACACCCTCGTCTTCCACAGGAGTGAAACCATCCACATCTTTCATCCGTGGCTGGCCCAGTTACCTCCCCCTCCCTGAGTGAGGTTATCTGTCCCTCAGACTACACGGTGCAGCTTCTGAGCCCTTGAAATGTGGCTGGTGTAACTGCGGAACCAAACCTTTTACAAAATAAAACCAAACTCAAATACCTGAAGGAGCAGAACACGAGGATACTGACTGCACATTGAAATGGCAATATTTCTGATACAGCAGGTTAAAATATTATTAAAATTAACTGCACCAAAATTCAGCTCACCTGTTTCTTTGCTCTTTTTTCAATTTGGTGACTGAGAAGCTCAATGGCGCCGGGAGTCTGCAGCCCAGTGCTGACTCAGAACTTGTGTAAGGACCAGGGGAGGTAGGTGCTCAGGTGTCTGGGGATAGTTGAGCCCCAGACAAGTTCTGGCTTCAGTTACTTGAGGGGTCATGTTCTCCACCACACAAGCAAGACATGTTCATTCTAGGAATAATAGAGAACATGAAGAATCGTTCACAATCAAAATCAAAATAACCCCAAATGCCACCATCCAGTGACAGCTTCTGAGCTAGGGAGAATCTCGCTCATGGATAATGGCTGCAGGGAACTTTTGCATCTCCCCCAGCCACGCAGTCCCATCATCCAGGCAGGACTGATGTCTATTAGTCTGATTCTAAACCCAAAAGTAACATGTGAGGTCCTGGCAGAGAAGAATGTACAGAGATTGTAATGCTGATTCATTCGTTCATTCAGTTCTTCCCTCAGAGCACTGTTACCAATCTACATTCTGGCTGGGCCTGTGCCTGGATCTGCGGATGCAGCACTAAAATCAGACCCAGGCCTGGAGACACTTCAGTAAACTCAGTGAGGTGAGGGCTGGGCTGCACAGCAATACAAAGGCATGGGAGTCCAGAGAAAGAACTCCCACCCCGGCTAGTGGTCAGGGAAGGCTTCCTAGAGGAGGGGCCCTTCAACTGTATCTTAGAAGAGTGAGTCTTTGCTGTAGCAAGCTGGGAAGACCAGAGTGCTCACAGATGCAGTTACAGCCTGTGGGAGGGAAGAGGCTTTCTGTGCTCAGCCAGAGGCTGGATGCTGCCTGTTGCCTGCTGCCTGCTGCTTGCTCTGGAGTCTAATGATAAAAGGACAAAGGGATTATCTGCTTTTGCTTACATGATTAAAACTAGACAAATATTTCCTTTACCTGAAAGAGTGAACTCTTGGCAGTAGAGCAAAACACAGAGTCTCCTTAACCAATCTCTCACTCCTGGCCCCCACCACCCATGGGCAGTGAGGAGAGTAACTCAGGCTCACCTGCTCTGGTGGGCAGAGCGCCCAGGCCGGGTGTGCCGGGTGGGAGGAGCGCAGAGGACACCCACAGGTCCTGTCAACACAAGGGAGCCACTGTCTCCCACAAGGGAGCCACTAACCCAAGATGGCCACAAGGTGGCAACTCACGGGAACAAATGTAGCCATGGCCCCATTTTATAGCTGGGGTGCCTGAGTGACTTTCTTCCCAAAGCTAGTGGACACAACTTGGACCAGGATGGAGACCACCAACTCCCTAGGGCTCGAACTCCTTCACTCTGTCATTAGTCAGCAAACCTGCGGTAACCCTGCTGATTGGCAGCACCTGGAACTCTCGCTGGCCACTGGGGACCCACAGAGAAGTCAGACCTGTCCCCCTTTTCATGAGTCCTCTCGTCTGGTGAGAGAGACAGCTAGGGCTGTCCCTGAAGCCTGGGGCTCTGGGATCCTCAGAATGGTGCCTAACTCTGGGTGAGAAGTGGGTGGTGAAAAAGCTTGACCTTACCTGTGGATAGGAGTTAGGCAAGTGAAGGAAGTGGACAGGGGGACCCCAACAAAGGAAACAGCCTGTGAAAAGACCTGGGGACTTGAAAGGGCGTGAGTGTCTGGTGAGGTGACCCTGGGCCTGGGAGAGAGCAGAGCAGAGAGGCTACAAGGAATCCCGAGGGCAGCACTACTGGGAGGGGGGTGCCTGTGCCCATTTGCTCCAGAGAACACTGTGAGGGTACTGGGCAGACCCAAGAGGAGAGTGAGAGTGGGTCTGCTTGGGGGCCCAGCAGGGCCCTCATGTCCCCCAACAGCGCACCTTGCTCTCCCAGCTTGATGTCTGGCCTTGCCTCTCTGGATGCCAAGACCTCCAGCCGCCTGGGCATCCTCACTGTGGCATACTACCTGTGGACCACCTTCTTGGCAGTCATCGTGGGCATCATCATGGTCTCTGTCATCCACCCAGGCGGGGCAGCCCAAAAGGAGACAACGGAGCAGAGCAGGAAGCCCATCATGAGCTCAGCCGACGCCCTGCTGGACCTTATCCGGTAACCCTTGCCACCAGCGCCCTGCTGGAGAGGATGTGTGAGGGAAGGTGTGCCCAGTGGGTGAGGCAGAAGCCCCGGGTGAGCCTTGGCCCACTGTCACCTTGGGAGCTATGTAGAACTGACAGAGCAGGAACAAGAGGGCCCAGGAGGAGAACCAGGACAGCAGTTGTTCTAGGAGCCAAGGGAGTGGAATTTCAAGAAGTTTCATTTTCTAAGATCCATTATTTCTAAGATTTGGTGACTATGATTCATCTTTTCTTGGAGTTTTTGATTCAAAACAGCTTTCCTCATGGTGACAGGAATTGTTGGTGCTCAGGAAGCCCCCCACCACCACCACTTCCCTGCCCAGGGGCTGAGGGCTCGGGATCAGATGCCCATGACTCGTCAGAGTCAAATGTTCCAGCAGCCATTTCTATATCTGGTGACCTTTCACAAGGGGAAAATTGATCCCTCTCATTTGAGGTCCACCCACCTACCCACCCCCGGTCAATCTCAACCCCAGTGCAAGTTGTTTTGCAAAGCTGGGTGGCTAGACCTCACTGTCACTATTTCTAGGTCAGAGGAAAGGCTGGAGAGAGAGGTCACATGCTTCTCAGGACAGGGAGCCAGATGCTTGGAAATGGGAGATCCAATCTCAGCTCTGCCCAGAAGTTTCTGCGTAGCCCTGGGCATGTCAGTCCCTGTCTCTGGGTCTCCATTTCCCCAGTGGTTTCCAAAATTCTTTCTAATTCTGTGGTTCCGAAACCCAAAGGCCACAAGTCAACGGGGAGCCTGCAGGGAATGAGCAGAGGCTTCTGGGAGCAGATTCTGAGAGGTGGAGATCGAAGGATAAATCAGGGCCCAACCTGAGGATGGTGAATCCAGGCTGAGGCAGGTGGCTGTTACGCTTTAGCAGAGATGAGCTGGAGTAGGGTGGAGTGAACGGGGTGTGAGTGGGGGCCTGAGTTTGCCCTGAAAGGAGTGCAATCACTTCTGTTCCATTCACCCACCTTTATTGAGCACCAGCTCTAGAAGATATTGTGCCAGGAGATGGGGGTGCAGTGAGGGCCAGCGTCCAGCTTTACATGAAGAAAAATTTTGATAATGGGAGGACATTGATGCAGGACCATAGACTTTGTTATAGAACTTGCGCCATCATTTGCTTTCTAAAGCTATTTGTATTGTTCTGAGAGCATCTTAATTTTTTCCACTTTTATTTTGGAGTAATTTTAGGTTTATGGAAAAGTTGCAAATAGAGAGAGATCCCAAATACCCACACCCATCTACCCCCACCCAACCCAGATCAGCAACTTTCACACATTTGTCAAAGTAAGAAATAAAATCACGCAATGCTACCAACTAGGTGACAGGATTTCCACTGGATTTCACCAGTTTTTCTGCTAATGTTCTTTTTTTAATTTTTTTCTTTTAGAAGCCAACCCAGGATACCATGTGGTATTAGAAAATTCTTTTTTTTTTAAGATTTATTTATTTATGCGTACAGAACTGGGGTACAGGGCAGAGGTGTAGGGGTGGTGAAAGGCTTCACCAGAGACAGAGTGGGGAGCAGAACAGGCAGATTGAGGAAGTACACTGCTGAGGGGAGCAGTGGGCGGGTCAGGAGAGGTCTGCCACGCCATGTGGTCACCTCCTGGGGTGGGGATTGAACTCATGCTGAAGTGGCTTTGGCTTCGTAGTGCTGTGCTTTAACCCACTGCGCTACCAGGGAGGGCCATAAAATTCTTAAGTTTAATGTAGTAAAACCTAGTGACTTTTTTATTGCTGATTTTATTCTTAGAAAGTCCTTCCAAATCCTGAAAGCTGGTCACATATTAACATTCTCTTCTACTTTTTTATGGCTTAAGTTTTCTTTTTAATTATATTTTTAAACCATGTGGAAAATTTTTGGGTGCTAAGTATGAAACACGGATGTAACTTCTATATTTCAGACAGCAGGTCATTTGCACAATACTTTTTAATGAATCCTTCGTTCCCTCACTTATCTTTTCTCACTTCTTTTCCTCACCAAAACAAGTTCTACTAGACATGAAATACTTTGCTATATGAAGTTCTGGTTCTGGGCTCTGGTCCTATTACACTGATTTTTCTGCTAAGACTCAGTAGCTCACTGTTTTGACTGTTCCATCTTGATGTTTTTTTGTGTGGTCGGACAAGACCCCCTTCTCCTTTGGCTTCATGAAAATATTAATAAGAATAATGCCGCCACTTATGTGGGTGCCACAGATAAAATATGAACCCTGGACTCCACTTCTGCGAGGCTGGTGAGCAGGGGAGGCAGCCACATCAGCCAGTGCCCGGGCGAGGGCAGGTGACCTAAAGAAGGGTCACAGAAATGGCCTGAGCAGTCAGAGGAGGCTAGAGCGGATCTGTCTGAGCAGGAGGCAGCCAGCCAGAGTAGCAAGAGGGCATTCCAATCGGGAGGAATAGTGTGGACAGAGGCCTGGAGCTGGAAAAGCACACAGAGTATTTTTTTCTTAAAGATTTTTATTTATTTATGCATACAGAACTGGGGTACAGGCCAGAGATGCGGAGAGTGAGAGGATTCACCAGGGACAGAGTGGGGTACAGAACAGGCAGATCGACGAAGTACACTGCTGAGGGGAGCAGCGGGCGGGTCAGGAGAGGTCTGCCACGCCATATGGATCTCCTCCGGGGCAGGTGGGGATTGAACTCATGCGGAAGTGGCTTTAGCTTCTTAGTGCTGTGCTTTAACCTGCTGCGCCACCAGGGAGGGCCGCACACAGCATATTTTAAGAACTGTAAGGAAGTGGTATTAGAGCTTACAGGAGCCTGTGCCTCCAGAACTGGGGATGGGGTGGCTGGGAATAGGGGCCTGAGTCTGCAGAGGGAGTGGAGCTAGATCATGAAGGTCTTAAGTAGCCAGGGTGGTGTTCAGATGACCCCAAGGTCCTCCTGTCCTGGCTCTACAACTCTGCATGATGACTCTCTTCCCAGGAACATGTTCCCAGCCAACCTCGTGGAAGCCACATTTAAACAGGTGAGGGGGTCCCTGGGCAGAATAGGGGTGCACAGAGGTGCCTGTGCACAGCTGGGAAGAGAAAAGTTCACATAGCCAGTTTCCTGGAGAGAGGGGTGGGAGAAGGGTTAGAAAGGGGAGGGGAGAAGTGTGAGGAACGAAGGGGAGGGGAGGGCCCTAGGTCTTAGTGCCTCCACTGCCGACCCAACCCTCAGCCCAGCGTCCAGCTTTACATGAAGAAAAATTCTGATAATGGGAGGACACCCCCATGTGATGGCTGCTCTGCCTTGGTCTCACCCAAGTGCTCACGCACGCACTGTCTCACTGGGTCCTCACCATCACTCTGCCCTGCAGAAGGGACTGGCCCCTCTCCTGAGGGAGGACTCTAAGACTTACCCAGCAGATACTGCTGGGAAATGACAGAGCTAGTGGGCAAAGCTGGCCTGTCTGCTCTTAAGCCCGTTTTCTTTTTCTTTAAAACAAAATCTTTCTGTTCTTCTCATAAGGACAGCAGTGCCATTCACTGCAGAAAATTAGGAAAATATTTTGAGAATATAAAGTAAAAAATAAAAATCACCTCTAGTTTCTTACCTAGCAGTAGTAGTCACTGTGCTTCTAGTCATGTCTTTTCTCTGCACAGTTGTTTTCAAAACTAAAATTAGGGCTATAGTGCATTGATAGTGTGGCCCCACCCATTCCTATCTATGCCATGAGCCCTTTCTCTGGTTATTAAATGTTTCTTAAAATACGCTACTCAGTGGTGATGTCATCACCCTTTGTAAGGCTGGACTGTAATGTATTCACCAGGCCCCGTTGGTGGGCCTCTGTTTTCAAAGTTTTGCCCTTTTGGAAATTATGGTAAACATCCTGTGTGGTAGTCTTTGCCTGCATATATAATACTATTCTATTCTTTTCCCCTTTCTAAAATTATGGATGGTCGGTTGACTCAATCCAGCAAGCATTTCCTGACCCCCTTCCCTGAGCTGGGTCCTGTAGTGGGTGTGGAGACACCCAGAAGGGCCTGAGATCTGGAGAGGCAGCTCCCAAACAAGGAACAGTGAAACCTCAAGCCAACCACTGCCTCTTCACTTAGGATGATATGAGCTGCTTAGCAAAGGGCCCTAAATAGGGAGCTCAGTTTCATCCCAGCAGTGATGGGGAATTATTGAAGATAGAAGATATTGAAGGTAGATTCTTCATATCCAACCTGGAATCCCCTTTTTCCTTTGACCAACTCCTATCCGTCCTTCCAAACCCAAATCAAATGTCCCCTTCTTTGTGACACCCTGACTAGGACAGTCATCAGGAAAGAAATCTTGGCTCAACCTTGTGTCCCTGGGGACCCAGCACAGAGCATTCAGCACTGGAATGACGATGATGGTAGTGGTGGTGGTGATAATGACAGCAGTGATTACTATGGCTAACAGTGTAGTGGGCTCTAGGGTAAGCCCCTTACCAGCTTATCTAATAAGGTAGATACCAGTATAAGTCTCATTTTACAGATGAGGAAACTGAAGACCAGAAACTTCGGTCCCCTACATTTCAGGAGTGTCTCTCCCCAACCCCTCAGAAGTGCCCCTCAGAAGGCTTACCCTACGATACTTCAGTGTTTGGGAGGATAGGAGACTCCAGTTGGGGTTCCATTGATGAAGGATGAAAGACCAGGAAAGTCCTGGGGGCAGAGGAAGGGCAGCTAGCTTAGCAATTTGACTCTTCCCAGCTGGGGCCTCACTTCATCAGATTGATTTTTTTGTTCTGTTCTAAGAGCTGAAAAGTTGATGTCCTTTAGTCAAGGGAAAACAACCCATGAATAGTGACTGCAAGCAGTGGATCACTCTTTGGAGGTGTTTTGAGCACATTTTACTGATCACTAGAAGAGGCCACATAGAAACAGGCACAACCAGCTAGGAGGTTGGGAAGCCCATATGAAATTAGCTGATCCTGTTTTCTGGGGAAAGTAATCTGGCCACAGCAAGCTGAGTTAGAGGGTTGTGACTAATGTAGTTTGGGTGTTTTGACAGGTGTTTCCCGTAAGTTCAGGCTGCCTTCGTTTAGATGTGTAGAGTGAGCTGAGCAGCCCAGGTGGCCTCCATTTTGTGGGTTCTCATATAAGAATTAACTTTCTCAAACCTCTCCTTTTGATCAAACTCTCAGTTATACTGATAATACCTACCAAACTTGAAGGTGTTAGCATTACTCTGAATGGCCATTTCTGGTTGATGTTGGAGTAAGGTTGAATGTCCAAGTGGAATTCAGAGGTAGGATATTCAGGTCTTGCTCAAAGGCCAAATAGTAGGTCCAAGTTTCCTTTAGTGGAAGCCAGGGCCGGTGGTTATTAGGTGTATGGGTCACGGATGGTTGAAAATGGATAGATCAATAATGAGGGTTACAGGGTAGATGAGAAGGACGATAGTTACAAGCAAATGCTGGTGGGTGTGATAGCACATAGACAGATGGAGGGGTACAGAGGCACAGCTGGGTAGTATGTAGATGGACGAAGACATGTCCATTTTCTTTTTTGGTAAAATATTCCTAAGAACCCTGTCCTGCCTGCTTCACGGGCTCATTGCCCATCAGATAGTTCATAGAGCCAGATGTGCTTCTGGCTTGTCATTCTTGTTATTAACCACGACACTTGACCCCAATTCCTTCCTGGTTGGGTCGCTGCCAGTACCGCACCAAGACCACCCCCATTGTCCACTCGCCCACTCTGGCATCAGAGGTTTCTCCTCGGCGTATCCTCATCTACAGCCTCCAGGAAGACAATGGTTCTCGGGTACAGAACTTTGCCCTGGACCTGACCCCACCGCCCGAGGTGGTTTACAAATCAGAACCTGGCACCAGCGATGGCATGAATGTTCTGGGCATCGTCATCTTCTCTGCCACCATGGGTATGTGTTGCCCCCCAGGTCCTAATGAGCCCGGGAGCCAGCCCCTCCTTGAACTCGCCCTTCCCTGAACCTGGTAGCCTGTATAACTTGGTCAGGGTCTTGGTGTTAGGGAGGACATTCTGGCAGGGAGTGACACTTGCTGCTGTCCAGGGTGTGGGTGAGAGAAAGGGAAGAAGGGACAGCCCTGTCAGGGGGTCCAAGTAGCAGAGGCTGAGAAAAAGAGGGAGGGAAGTGGTACCCCCAGGCTGCTAGGAGCCAGTGAGGGCAGACGGGCCAGGGCACAGGGTCTTCGCTGCTTTGCCACCAGTGTGTCAGCACATGCAGGGCACCTGCCTGCATCCCGGTCTCGGTCTGTCTGCAGCACCTGTGACTTGCTCGTGTGTCCCCGCCTCCTCAGGCATCATGCTGGGCCGTATGGGCGACAGTGGGACCCCCCTGGTCAGCTTCTGCCAGTGCCTCAACGAGTCTGTCATGAAGATCGTGGCGGTGGCGGTGTGGTAAGCCAGCTCGCCTGCCCTGGGAGGTGGAGGAAACCACGGGCCAGTCCTCTGCTCTGCCAGGAGGCTCCACCTGGGCCTGGGGCTTGTGGAGCTCCATGTGCCCCACTCTAGCCCCCCAGCCCTGACCAGACCCACTTCCAACTCTGGGTGCCACTTCCGGCCCAATCAGGCCCACAGGAGGAGAGCTAAGAGGTAAGCCTGACCCCGCTATCCCAAGCCTCAGTTTTCCCATCACATGGAATCTCATCAGCTCAATTTTTGGAGAAAGGAAACCCAGAAGTGAGAACCAGCTGCCACTTGGCTCAGAATTCAGATTTAGCAACTTTGCACAGTTTAGGGGGGGATATGCAGAGGCCTGTTCAAGTTCTCCCTAGAGGGTGTGGCACTGATGGGCTGAAGTGTGGGCCTCCTGAGAGCGAGCCCAGGCCTCAGAGTCCAGGACTCGGGAAGGTGTGGGGGCGGGTGGGCTGAGGATGGTACTAATGATGCCCTGGCTGGGCACACGGGCACACAGTCTTACTCCTCCCTGGAGCCTGGGAGACCAAGCAGTGCTGCAGTCTGGGCTGCATGGGGTACCGCTGCCCTTCCCACCGCCAGGTACTTCCCTTTTGGCATCGTGTTCCTCATTGCTGGCAAGATCCTGGAGATGGACGACCCCACCGCCGTCAGAAAGAAGCTGGGCTTCTACGCCATCACAGTGGTGTGTGGGCTGATGATCCACGGCCTCTTCATCCTGCCCCTCCTCTATTTCTTCATCACCAAGAAGAACCCCATTGTCTTCATTCGCGGCATCCTCCAGGCGCTGCTCATCGCACTGGCCACCTCCTCCAGGTATGGGGTGACGGGCAGCAGATGGAAAAGCCTGAACCGTCCATCTGCCCCGCCATCATTTGTCCGTAGCCACAGAAACACAGAACATGTAAGCACAGCTGCCCTCACAAATGTGGGGTAGCTGTGATAAGAAGACCAATTTTTGAGGTGTAATACATAAGGCCCCATTACAGGCTCTGGCAAGTGGACTGGGCTCCCAAGACAGTGACCTGGAGAGTGTTAGTCCCAGCACTGCCCTGGGAGGTCCAGTAATAGGAGCAGCAGCAGCTGCCATTGGAGCCAGCGGCTGGCGAGGCAGACAATGTTGTGAGCACGTTGGTGTCGACTCCTAACAGCTCTGCAGAACAGGTGTTTCCAGGCACACGCAGGTCAAGAAACCCGCAGGGCCGCTGGGCCAGTAGGAGGCTCAGGGAGTCTGGCCGAGAGCTCTGCTATTACCACTTCATCTGCAAGTGTGCAGCAGGCCATTCTGGGCAGGCCCCTTCTCTCTGGGCTTCGGTTTCTTCATCTCTAAAATGGACTCAATCTCTCAGGACAAGCTGTGAAGACCAGTCGAGTATGAAGCACACAGTGCCTGATGCAGTCAGCTCTGCCAGTGGGCACTTCCGTTCTGACTTTCTCAGATGCCCCAGGCCCTGGCAGATCTGGCCTGACACTGACCTCACTCCCAAAGGGCCATTTTCAAAGTCCCTCAGCCTGTCCTCCCCCGACACGGCAGCCGAGAGGTCCTGACTGTCCCAAAGCTCATCCCAGGCCGAAGGGGGCAGTGGGCAGACCCTGATCCCTCTGCCCACAGCTCAGCCACGTTGCCCATCACCTTCAAGTGCCTCCTGGAGAACAACCACATCGACCGGCGCATCGCTCGCTTTGTCCTGCCCGTGGGCGCCACCATCAACATGGACGGCACCGCGCTCTATGAAGCCGTGGCCACCATCTTCATCGCCCAGGTCAACAACTATGAGCTGGACTTCGGCCAGATCATCACCATCAGGTGCGCCCCTGAGGCCCCGGTGGGGGCGAGGGCAGGGGCTGGGGCCCTCAGGGTTCTCTCGTTTTCACATCTGATAGGGTCTCTGAATCCGGAGGGGGGAGGGGCTCCTCCCGGGCCATACAGCTAGCCGGTGCTGGGGCGGGAGTGTGACCCGTCCTCTGTGACTCAAGACAAGGGGCTCCCTCTCCAGTGCTGCGGGCTGGGGAGCCGAGGCCCAGAGGAAGGCCCACAGCCCTGCACGCAGAGCAGAGGCGGTCACTGCAGACAGCCCTGCGGGACACAGGGGCCAAGAGCAGGACGAGCGGACAATGGAGGGGTCACTGGTGTGGCTGGAAGTGAGGAAGGGTGCTAGGGTGAGGAGGGGCAGGGTCAGCCTGGCTTGTCAGCCCCCAGGTACAAGCCTGACCCTGGGGTCCAGCCCCAAAGGATGCCGCGTAGAGCTGTGCTGGTAGGCAATCAGAATCTCTGGCAGCTTCCTGGAAACCCGTAGAGGAGCAACCCAGACACGGGGTTTCCCATCAGCTCCGTGCAGCCACAGAACCCCAAGCAGAGGCACATTTCCCACGGTGGGACCCTCCCAGCCGCCCCCGTCACTGTCCTCAGAGGCCCTGGCATTCCGGCCTTCCCCACGGAGCCAGGCCCGACAGCGCCCTGTACCTGCGCCTCCTCCTCTCCCCCCCCCCCAGCATCACAGCCACTGCAGCCAGCATCGGGGCGGCCGGCATCCCCCAGGCCGGGCTCGTCACCATGGTCATCGTGCTCACTTCCGTGGGCCTGCCCACCGATGACATCACCCTCATCATCGCTGTCGACTGGGCTCTGTGAGTGGGCTCACCCCGGCCCTCCCCACACCCGAGGGAGCAGGCATGTGGGGTGGGAGGGGGAACTGCCCTGGCTTGCACAGTGGGGGTGCCCACTCATCAGCACTAGCCTGGCTACATCATTCGTGGGGCTACTTTTCAAAAATGAAAATGTGAGGTGCATGGTCAAAAGCCACACACAGTTTCAAGGCGGTGAGAGCAAAGCATGAAACCAGGCTCCCGCCCTTCTACGCACCGGGGCTGTGCGAGCACCTGGTCACCAGTGCGTGAAGCCAGGCCTGCACCGGCCAGCCTGCACATCACCAAGGGGTGGCTGAAGAGGCCCGGGAGAGCACCTCGCTTCCACTCTGCCTCGGCAGGTGCTGCTGAGGGGTGCGTCACCCCCTCCAGCAACGCCCACAGCTCACCGCCTGCCTTGGCTTACCAGGGACCGTTTCCGCACCATGATTAACGTATTGGGTGATGCACTGGCCGCTGGGATCATGGCCCACATCTGCCGGAAGGACTTTGCTCAGGACATGGGCACCCAGGTAAGGCAGTGCCTCCCCTGCAGCCTGGCCGCCGAAGGCCAGGGTGGGCTGGTACCGATCTTGCCCCAACCAGCTGAGCAGACTTCATCCAGCCCCTTTGTGCAGCCTGGCCTCATCTCTCGTCTAGTACAAGGGTAGCTAATTCCTCTAACAGTTTTGAGCACCCACCACAGCTGATACTGGCCTAGAACTAAGAGGTGCATTGATGAGACAAAGTAAGATAAACCTCTGCCTTTTGGGGAAGGTTTGAACCTCCATGTGGGGTGGCATTGGTCCCACCCACAATGACCCGCAGGGCTTTGTGGGCTTCAGGCTCCTTCAGTAACTGCGTGTAGCAACTTCTCTCACTCTCTGGGAGGAAGGTGAGGCCCAGGCAGGGAGCCACCACCAACCTTGGTGTTGGTCCCTCCCCGCAGGAAGAAGCCCTGAGAGGAGGCAGGGCGGCTGGGAACAGGAGCCGCCCGGGCCTCACAGCACCTCTGTAGGAAAGCTGACCCCTGACCCCAGTCCTCTGCTTGTTCCGTCCTCCCTGGTGTCTGACCGCAGGACCTCCAGCTGCTCCCAAGGCTATTTTCCCTCCTAGAAACTTCCACCCTGTGAGACCGAGCCAGTGAGCCTCCAGGAGATCATGGTGACCCAGCAGAACAGCTGTGTGAAGAGCGTGGCTGAGGCCGCGGAGCTGACCCTGGGCCCCGCCTGTCCCCACCACATCCCCGTCCAGGTGGAGCAGAATGAGGAGCCGGCCACCACCAGCCTGGACCACTGCACCATTGAGATCAACGAGCTCGAGACCAATGTCTGAGCCTGTGGAGCTGCAGGGAGGCCTCAGGCGTGAAGGCCCAGGATGCAGCTTTCCTGAGCCACCGACAGGCTCACACATTCTTCCCGCCCTGTGTGGCCGGAATTCACTCTACTGGGGGGAAATAGAGTCTAGAGAGAAAGCCCTGGTGGCTGAGTGGTGGCCTGACACGAGCCCAGCCCTGCTGTATGTGTCCACTGTGTTGGCCTGTGTGGCAGCGGCAAGGGTCACAGCCCCCAGCTTCTGGGTGACAGAGTTGAGGCTCCGACAATGGAAAACACCTGCCCTGGGTCTCAGAACAAGTGGTGTGTAGGCCGGGAGACTGGCTCTCATCTTTCCAAGTCCAGGCCACACCCTCCTGGAGGACAGGGGCACCAGCAGGTCCAGATGCTAAGAGGAGTCCCATAAACACCACACCCCTCTCCAGCCAGGGGCTCGCACACACTACAGCTTTCGATCTATGAAGGCTTAACCACAGCCTCCTGCTCCTGCCCCAGCTGCGTGCCAGCCCAGTCAGCCCGTCTCTTCCATAACACATGGCCTCAGTGAGCATCCCTGAAGACGGGCCCAGCTGGAGGTCAAGGCCCGGTGCCTTTCACATGCCGCAGCCTTCCGGTCATCCAGTGTGCAAACTGGCTGTCTGCACCTGAGCTGCATGGACCCTGAGAGATCCCTGATCCACTGGACAGGTGGGCCTGTGAAGACCTGGGGAGGCAGGCTCACCTGGCATGCTTTGGTCAAGCTGCCCACACAATCCTAAGTTCAGAACTCCCCCAAAAGCCTGTGTGATGAAGCAAGTCACATTTTCTATTCCTGTCTGTGTTATAACTGAGTAAAAGTGATAACTGAAAGTGCTATGGCTTACTGACCACACCCTGGCTAGCATTTCTTTATTGGGCTAATATAGGCTGTCATAGTTCAGACAGGTCCGTCTGGCAGCTGGAGTTTGGCAGGCCTGTCAAGGTAGCCAGGATATAAAGATACTTGTCTGGGTAGCTAGAACACAGGTAGGTCTGTCTGCTTGGATTGTCAGGGTGTGGTCAGGCCTGTCTGGGCCTCCAGTGTACAGATGAGCCTGTCCTGGCAGCCAGAGTGAGGACAGTCTGTCTGAGGTGTCACATGCTCTGGGAGGCAGAGTGCCTCCCGGCCTGCCCGACAGCCACCTACCCCCTAGTCTGCTCTACTGTGCAGGCAGGCCACGTTGGTCCCCACAAAAGGTCCCCAATCTGGCTCCCTTTGGTGAATGCTTTGGTTTAAAGTGAACCCGTGCCTAAGGACAGTTCCAGACTTACTGCCTCGATCTCCTCAGCCTCCAGGAGGCTCTACAGGGCCTTGGGAGAGCCATGGCCACACACCTCGCTCGAATGTGCTTGGAGAAGCTCCAGAAACCTGCACATGGATGCAGTCCACGAAGACTCGAGAGCTAGGAGAGGAGACGGACCTCCCAAGGTCACCCAGAATCAGGACGGCCGCACCTCCATCATCTTCCTCTAGGGGGCATAGTCTGAGGCGTCTGGGAAGAGGCCGGGCCCAGGGCCCCCCACCCACTGTGGGGCCCACCACGGACCTCTGCCTGTGCGACTACTTCGTGGGCCCCAAAAGCTGAGCTTTGCCCTACCCCTGCTGATGCAGACGGTGCTACAGAGCTTGCAGCCAGCACCCCTGCCAAGCTCCCGCGCAGCGCCTGACGGGAAGCACACACAGAGACACAAGTGCCAGACAGGGGTAATGCTTTATATTAGTTTTTCTGTAACAAGAAAAATCAGCTTTGACATTTTAAATCTTTTTCTTATAAAATTATAAAAACCCAGAACTCCCCACAAGCCCAGAGAATCACAGAATTAACCTGGTGGCACAGCTGAGCCGGCCTTCTCGCCCAGCCTGGCCCACACCTCAACGCACTCCTGCCCCAGGAGACTTTCCCAGCAAGCCTCAGTGGGGCTTGCCCCACTGCCAGCTGGTGACAGGACAGGAGGGGCCCGCACAGTGACTGCCCCAGCAACTGAAAGGCAGGACAGACAGACGGTGCCAGGGCCCCCGTCACGAGGGGAGAAGTACAAAAGCCAGCTTTTGTGAGTTCCAGAGGTGGTAGAGAGAGAGAGCGCTATTTCTTCTCCAGGGGACAGATGGGCAAATGATGAGCTGTTGCACCCAGTTCTGACTGGGACACCCTGCTGGTGGCACAGGCCACAGAGGGCTGTTTGCACACAACTGAGGGGTGTGTGTGTGTGTGCACATGCACATGTGTGTCCATGTACCAGCAGGGAGCAGGCACGTGTGCACGCCACCGCAGGGTCAGATCCCAAGTCTGCACGACTCCCAGGGAGTGATGGCGGAGATGGGGAGCGAGGGGGGGCAGAGAGTGAGGCCATTGGGAGGTTGTGTCTGTGAGGCGGCAGAGTGGGGCGCACAGGCGCGTGCTGCGGAGGGAATCCGGTGGTCCAGCATCCTGCAGAACACAAAGGAGAGTCAGGGGGGCCGGGCAGCCCTGCCACCACCAGGCTGGGGGGGTGGATAAGAGCCGGGGGGCAGGCATGAGGGGGCTTCGGGAGGCTCAGGCCACTGTGGGTGGGAGGGTGGTCGCCGCTAGGAGCTCGTGTCCACATGGCCAGCGGCCTCTGGGTCCCGCTGGCCACTCCCTGGGCCTTTCCGGAGGCCCCACAAGATTGACCTGACTGTGGCCAACACCCTCCTGAGGGGGGCAGATTTGCTCCCATCCTTGGTCTCCACAGGCCCCCTTGTGAGGGTGACAGCATCCTCGCTGACCCACCATTTATGGAGGGCGTGGTCCCCAGCTCTGGCTAAGGATAATTCCTGGACAGAAGGATGCTCATCTTCCATTCTTGGGCCCCAGGACCAGAGGAAGGCAATTTGGGGGCACAGCCTCTGCCCCCAAGCTCAGGTAGCCACCCGGAGGCATGCTCTGTCATCAGCTGCACCCCTGTTCCCAACTCTCTCCCAACCCCTGACCCACCATGGCATCCTCAGCGCCCCTCAAGCTCCCCTCTGACCCAGGCCCTGCTTCAACTCAGCACCTGAGGAGCAGCACCCGTGACCTCAGCGTAGCTCGCCTGACCCCCTCTGACGCGCTTCTCCCCTGGCTCCCGGCCACCCCCGGCCACGCTGCCAACAGCCCTCCCCCGTGGGGTGCCCGCCACCCTCCTGTCCGCGCCTCCTTCCCTTCCCAGCCTGACACTGGCACAGCCATCCTCTTGCCAATTCACTCGACTTCCTCATTCCTTGCGTTCCCTCCCCCACACCTAGCCAGAACCCCCCTCACGGAGGAATCCAACTGTTCTCTCTCCACTCACCCACCCTCTGAGCACCTCCTGCCACACCCATAAAACAGCACGCTGGGGCCCTGGCTCCCGCGCCACCAGCCACTCCCCTGCGTGTGGCGGCAGCCACGGGCCGCCAGGCCTTCGCCGCCCAGGAAGGCCGCTGCCCAGACCTGTCCTGCTGCTCCCCTGCACTGCTCACACCGGCTCTCCGCTCTGCTGTCTTTCACGGATCCCTCCACACTGGCCCTTCCCCACCAGCATTCAAACCAGCCTATTTCTTAAAAAGGCTTCACCGGAAGGGGGCTCCGCCTGCACTTGACCCCCGCCCCTGTGACCACTCTCTTCCTCTCTTCACTGTCCGCCTTCCTACTGGAGCTGGCCACACTCCCTAGATCGCCCCTTTCACAGCCACTTTACCCACCACCACCAACTCACCGGAGACTCTCCGGCAGTCATGGTGACCTCTGTGTGGCCTCAGCGTGCTCGGTGCAGGGACAAGGCTGACGCCCCCACCCCCAGAGGAGCCTGCAGGACGCCTAACATGCATGCACGTCTGTGAGCTTCACTGTGTGTGCAAGTGCACGCATGTTCTGCACGTGTCGATGTCAGAGTCTGTGCGTGCGTGTTTCTGCAAACATGTGCTCTGTGTGTGTCCACGCATGTTCACGAGCGCCAGTACATGCACTTACGTGGCAGGTAAGTGCAACCATCCCTGTCCTCACCTCCTGTCTCCTGTCTCACCTCCTTCCCTGGCTGCTGTTCTCACACTGGCCATGTCCTCCCATTCACTCCCCTGGGGTGAGATGCCCCAAGGCTGACTGCACCCGATGCCCACCTCTAGCCCAGACCTCTCTCCTGACCCCAAACCCAAATATCCAACCCACTCCCTGGCAGCTCCCGCAGGGCCTGCCAGGCCTCTCGAGTTCCCCGTTCCCTTCTGCATTCCTGTCCCTCCCGATGCTATCCTCTATCCAGCAAGCCAACTCAGAGTAGGGACCTTATTTTCCCCCTTAGCCCATGCCCAGCCTTTCACTCTGGCCCCTTAAATCTGCACCCAGTCCAACCCCACCTGCTGGCCTGCACTCCCGCTGCCCCACCCCCTTCTCTGTGGCTCAGATGACAGTCTGGGCCCCACATCTATTCCTTGCATCCACCTTCTGGGCCCCTGGATGTGTTCACAGAGCTCATCACCCAGGCTAGAGTCCCCTAGCACAGCGGCCTCCTGCAGGCTGCTGCTCCATCCCTGCCTCTCACTCCGCTCTGATAAGTTTGCAGAATGAGTGAAGAAGTCTGAGTAAAAACTGAGCAGAAAGACCCTAGACAGGGATCAGGGACAGGGAGCTGGTGCGGAGAGGCAAGTGCACCCACACAGGCCACCTACCGATGTCCAGTTCACCTGGTCACTATCGCCTGTCCTCTTCCTCATCCTCATCTTCCTCATCCTCCTCATCTTCCTCCTCCAACTGTCCCCGGTCCTTGGAATCGGCACCAAATTCAAAGTTGCCTTCTATGTCCAAGACCTGTAGATGTTTCAGCCTCCGGAAGGCGCTTTCCACCACGGAGCCCACAGCCAGCTTGTTAAACCTGCGCAGGTACAGGCCACCCGCGTGGGTCAGTGCCAGGACCCACCCTCAGAGTTCCCACCTGGACCCACCCAGGGGAAGGGGAAGGGCCGGCCCTACAGGAGAAGGTGGCAATTTGAGCAGCCGGAGCATCACAGGGGTCCAAGTTGGCCGTCGTAGCTACAGCTTGGGGAGCAGGGGTTGACTGTGGACCACCCACTCATAAAGTGTGGTCTGCATTCACACACTACAGTGTGGGAGCGGCACACAGGGAGGCTCCCCTCTGCCTGTGTGCTGGCTCAGCCCCAGACCTGGCATTCCTGGGCCGCCTGCTGCAGTCCCCTCGGTACCGCTGGGGAGTATCACAGACTCTCACAACAGGCCAGGCTGATCCATGGCACCCTTGGCTGTGGAGAGATGGCTGTGGGTTTTGATCTCAGGCCCCCTCAGCTCTGCACCTCACTCTGCTGCAGGAGCTGAGCTACAGGTCACACTGCACCCCTAGATGGCCCAGACCCAAGGACCCTGGAAACACATCTTCTGCCTTTCTCCATTCTGTCTCCTTCTTCTCTCTGACTTGGGGGTGTGTCGGGGGAAAGGTGGATATTGAGAAGGACCCTCCTGGCCCTATATGGGAGCTCCTCTCTTTGGGGCACTGGGCCCCCCTAGTCATTCTAAGCCTGCAAAGCCCAGTGAAGACTGCAGCATCTGCTACCCTGGCTGTGCGAGATAGGCCCAGCCACACTAGCTGTGGACACGTGTGCACTCTGGGCCTCAGCTTCCCCGGTGGTGAACGAGGAAGAGCCTCTTTCCCCTGGCGCAGTAACATCCATATGTCCACATGCATCACTTTGAGGTTCCTGAAGCTATTTCACAAATCTGTGACCTGCTGAGCCTGGCCAGGGCTGTTGCCACCAAGAGGGAGCAGAGATTCAGGGGAGTTCTGTGACATACTCAGGGTCATGTAGCCAGGGAGCAGTGAAGCCAGGCTTCGGACACTGGCCTCTGCTTGCAAGCTGGCCCTATGTGCCTCAGCATCCGGCCGCAGCTGGCAGACCCAGGGGCATGGGCAGGGGTTACCTGAGAAAGATGCCCTTGAGGTTGGGTGTGGAGTCGAAGGCATTGGCGGGCACAGTGCTAATCTTGTTGTTCTGCAGGTACAGGTACTCGAGCGACTCGGGGAGCCCATCGGGGATCTCGGTGAGCTGATTCCCGGCAATGTCCAGCAGCTACGGGGGTGTCAGAGCACTTCACAGCTTACAAAGCTCCCACCAACACCCCTCAGGTGGGGTTTACCATGACCCACATTTTCCAGATGGGGAGACAAAGACTCAGAAAGGTTAAGAGATCTGTCCAAGGTCACCTAGTCCCATAAAGGGCTGGACCTACATATGACTCCAAACTCTTATTTGGAGTCATATCCAGATAGCCCTCTCTGGCTCCCCACATGAATTCAGAGCCAAGATGCCTAAGTGTCACAGTCCTTCCTCAGCACACCTGCCACCCCCAGGAGACTGAAGATCCCAGAGAGGACTAGGGAACCTCCTGTCTTTGAATCTCACTAGCCTTGGATGAGGGCTTCAGGACAGTGAGCTGGCCTGCTCATTGCCAGACTCCTGCCATGGCAAGCTTGTTCTACAACCAGGAAAGCCTAGTCCTGGTGCCCTGCCTGCCCACCTGCTCCCGGACCCTTGTCCAGGAGGCATGTGGTGACCCAGCCTGGGGCCTGGCTGTCTTGTCAGTGTCGTCATGGGCTTCACACCCTGGCTCTCGAGGTCCATGAATGACCAGCACCATCAGGGCTCCCTATTCATTCCAAACATTCTCAGGGCCCCCAAGTGCTAGAGACATGGAATCTACTGAGACATTTTCTCCTTAGGAAACCAGGCTGGAAGAGGAGGTGGACACAAAATATGACATTGGCAACCAGTGGAATGAGCTTGATGAGGAAGCCCGGGGAAGGGGTCTGACCCAGCATGAGTCAGAAGTGGGGGGCAACCAGTAGAGATTGGGGCTCTGAGGCAGCAGGGACAACTGCTTATAGAAAGATCCAGCAATAAGAAGACTCCTCGCCAGCACCAGACACCCCATCCCTGACCAAACTTGCCTATGCACAGGGAGGCATCTAATCTGCCCATACTTGCTGGCTTCAGGTGACCCCTGAGTTGAATTCTAGGTATACATTCTAGGACAGTGACATTCCATTTGTCTAGTTCCTCACTGGGCCCTATGTTCTAGAACTATCCCTAGCATATGGTAGAAACTTGTGGAAAGAATGAGTGAGCAGGTGTCACCAGGAGAGATGCTCTCAGCAGATTGGCCAGCATGAGGACAGTCCAGTGCATCTGGAAAACTAAGAAGAGCAGACGGGCCTTGAAGGCCAAGGCAAGTATTCTGGTCAGCAGGCTTATTTTTCAGGATACCATCTAACTGCATATGGGGTACAGGAGTGGTCAGGTCCCAGGAAACTGGGCCAGAAATGGAGGTGGTCTGGTGGCAGTATGTGCAGCAGGATGGAAAGAAGTGGAAGACTGAGAGACACGACAGTAGAATTTGCAGGGTTTAGTAATGACTGGTGCTGGGGCGCAGACAATACTAAAAAGGGGGTGTCAAGGTATCCCCTGGGCATCTGGGTGGATGTCGCCCTTTTCAGCAACTTAGGAAATGCAGCAGCAAGAGCAGGCATGGAGCAGAGGTTTGGGCCCCAGGAAAGGGTTCCTGGGGAATATTCAGAGGGACATCCCCTGGGCTGGGGGAGGGGGGTGCAACCGGTGTCTGGCACTTGGCAGGGCCATCTGGATGGGGAGACACCTTCAAGGTGGTTCCTGCAGGTCGGCTGCCTTCCCCCAACTCCCAGCCTACTCCAGCTTCAAGGATCTGCAGACCTCCCCAGAAGGTGATTTCTGAGCAGGGCCCTGAGGACATCGGGGAGGTTGTGACCAACTGGGCAGCAGAGCTCCAGTAGACACTCACCTCGAAGCACCTGGCCCCACCTCCCAGGTTTCTCCAATGAAGCGATTTATCAGCTGCTCATTGAATCTGGAGGTTTCCTTGGTAGCCAGACACCCAATTCGTATGGCCAGATATCCTCAGGCCCCCTTTCCTGCAGCCACGACCTCCTCTTATGCCCACAACACTCCTCAAGTCCATGCCTATAGGTGGTGAGCTCAGCCTGGCCATTCCAAAAGAGCTCTCCCCTCTGCTCCTGCCCCTGGAGGTGAGCTAGGCTGACCGGGGCTACGGCCATATCCTCTGTGCAGTTCCCTTCCCTGAGAGCCAGCCTCTGCAGTGGGCACCTCCCTCATCACCCAACCCTCTTGTCCAGGCTTCAACCCTCTCACACAGGCGGGCTCAAGGTAGCAGCATCCCACACAGGCATGGCCCACCTCCCCTTTCTCCCCCTTACCTGCAGATGGGCAAGGTCTGTCCAGGTGCGGGCGCCCAGGGCCCGGCTTCGCAGCCGGTTGCTGGTGAAGTAGAGCTCACGCAGTTGGGCCATGCCAGCCAGCGCCCCCCGTGCCAAGGCGACCAGTTCGTTGCGCTTCACCTTCAGCACGTGCACATTGCGAGGCAGCCCGAGCGGCAGCGTTTGCAGCCGGTTGCCGGAGAGGTCCAGGGAGCGCAGCTGGCGCAGCTTGCGGAAGGCGTCGCGATGGACCTGCGGGCTGGTGATGCGGTTGTAGCTGAGGTTGAGCTCCTCCAGGAAGTAAGTGGTGGCGAAGTCGTCGCGGCCGATGCCCGTGATCTGGTTGTGCAGGATCATGAGGGTGCGTACGCGGCGCGGCAGGCCGCTGGGCACGCGCTCCAGAGCGTTGTTGTACAGGTGCACGGTGTGCAGCCGCTTGAGGCCGTGGAAGGCCAGCGGGTGGATGCCGTGCGCACGCAGCTGGTTGCTGTGCAGCAGCAGGTACTCGAGGCTGCGGATGGGGGTCAGCACGTCCGCGCCCACCGTCTGGATGGCGTTCTTCTCCAAGTGCAGCAGCACCAAGCTGCGCGGCAGCCCCGCGGGCACCCGTGACAGGTTGTTGCTGGACAAATCAAGGTACTCCAGGCTGGACAGCTTCCTGGGAGGGGTGAGGGTGGGAGTCATGGGGGGGCAGGAGGGCTGGGAGGAAGGAACCCACAAGGAAATTGTTCCTACATGTTCCCGAGGGAAATGGCAGGGAAGCTGCTTCTGTTTCTCCTCAGCTTCACCACTAGCTGACGGGGACCTCGGTCCTCTCCAAGCCTTAGTGGTTTGACTCCACAATAAATTGGTGTAAGAAGGGTCTCACATGGTTTCTGACAGAGGGATTTATTTGAAGGTCAACTGTTTAAGGCCTGTCCTAGCTGCCCTGGGTTCCAAAAACAAGTGAAAGTAAATTTGTCTTCAATAAAAATGTCTGAGTTTCTAATTTACACCAAGACGAAATTTGGCAGGCCGCACCTATACATGTCACTTTTTCTTGGGAACAGAAAAAGCAATTTATCAGCTGCTCAAGGCTAAAGTGCCCTCTCCAGGGAGACCAAGGGGCAGGTGCGACAGGTCCCAGCAGGTGGGCCCTGGGAGGAGCACTGGGGAGCTATGCTCACCCTGAGGACCCAGACGAGGCTCACCAGAAGGTCTCATTGTCCAGGCCCTCATCAGTCAGGTAGTTGTTCTGCAGGTACAGCTCACGCAGGTTGCTCAGCTCACTGAAGGCCCCTGGTGGGATCTTCTCCAGCTTATTGTTCTGGGGGTGGGACAATATAGGGAAGGGCATGTGAGGGGCAGGCAGGGCCAGGCCAGGGCAGAGCCTTGAGATGAGGTGTGGAGAGGGCCCTGGAGCTTTATGGTCGGGGTCCCAGGCCTGGAGCACACTCCAGGTGGTGCTAATGGCCAGGCGCCCGGGCTCCTGTCTACTTCTCCACAGTGGACGCTGTGCTCTCTGGCCTGTGCCCAAGGCCCCAAAGCCCCGCTACTGCGCCCACTGGGCGCTTCACTAGCGCCAGGTCCCTGTTCCGGTGGTACCCTTCCCTGCCCTCTCCCTCCCACCTTGAGGTGCAGCTTGTAGAGGGCGGGCGGCAGGTGCTTGGGCACGTGGCGTAGGAAGTTGCTGGACAGGATGAGAATCTCGACATTGCTGGAGCCATTGAACGTGTTGTCCGGCAGCCCGGCATCTGCCAGCTTGTTGTTGTGCAGGTACACAGACCTGGGGAACAGCACGCAGGTCCTCACCCACCTGGCAACTGTGGTCCCCTGCACCCGGGCCCAGCACTCAGCCGGAGAGCCTCCAGGCCTGGCTCAGGTTGGTTGGGCCTGGGGTCCAGGGCACCCGCCTCCCACCCAAATCCAAGATCCTCAGACACTCCACTATCAGTTCTTCTCACATAGCTAAGAGGACCAAGGGGCCTCCAGAGATTTCCCCCACAAGCTTAGGGCAAAAAAGAAGGTCCACATCCCTCGTCCAGGTTCCTCTGTAAACCACCTATCAACCCCACCAAGTTAGCTCTGAGTTCTGTGGTCTTCCTGAAGCCCCCTCAGTACCTGGCTCAGAGGATAGAACGCCTCAGTCATTCAGCAAATACAGTGAATGCCCCAGTGTGCCAGGCCTGTTCTAGACTCTGACTGCCTGCAGTGCACACAAACAAGACCGTGGCTTCATGAAGCTGCCATAGTAGGAAAAGACAATGAACTAGGGAGACACATGGAAGCTCGTTCACGCTTTGTGGTGTCTCCTGGCCTTAGCCTTCTCTTCTGTGGGATGGGGCCACACACGGTAACCCTGGCTCCTCAGGGGATAAGGAGAACAAAGTGGCATATTTAGGGGCAGAAGTGGCCCCAGGGGGTTACCAGCCCCACTTCATTGCTGGGGAGAGGTTTGGCCACAGCCCCCCAGCACCATCCACCCTACTCCTTCCTGTGCTGAGAGGTTTCCCTCCTCCCAAAGCAGCATCAGCAAGGACTGACTCTGCCTATGGGAGATGCTTCCTTTCCCTGGAACGCTGGAAAAGGAGGAAAAACCCCACCTGGCTCCCCACAATTCTGCGCACATCATCCCCTGCCTCACCTGCTGGGCTAATCCTTCCTCATCATTAGGTGTCAGCCCTCAGGACCCTGTGCGCCTGCAGCCCCCGGGCACCCCCGCCACTCCCCTGAGTATGGGAACCTGGCCCTGCTGCACAGCACACCCTATTCCAGGGCCCCCCCTGGGTGCTCTGAGAGCCTTACTCAGTGGGCAGCTCTGCCCGAGCTGCCCTTCTCCCCCAGCCTGAGCCCAGGGCCTGCCTCTCACCTCAAGTTTGGCTTCTGGCCAAAGGTGAGCCCGTAGATCTTGGTAAGATAGTTGGCAGCGAAGTCCACACTGATTAGGGTGTTCGGCAGGAACCGAGGTGCCAAGGTCAGCTGCAAAGGGGAGTTGGGGCAGAAGGACCAATGGAGGTGCAGAGGTTGGCTCTGGGTCCCCTGCCTGCTGCTCACCTGCAGTCTGGCTCCTCTCTGCAACGGTAGCCCTCTTTCTAAAATGGAAACCCAGCCCGTGACAGCACAGAAAACAGACGCTCCGTGGATCCCCGTAGACCTGCACTTGACATTGACGGTCCTTTGGGCCAGTCCCCAACCCTGCCTGCGCCCCTGGCCTCCCCCTCATTGCTTCCCCACCCTGCCCCTCTGTTCAGCCATGAGCACCCACACTTCCCAGAAACAGCTCCCTGCATTCACTCTTCATTCACTGAACAGTCATCACCGAGACTACAACATTCTGGGCATGGTTCCAGGTACTGGATGTGTCCTGGGGAATAAGGCGGGAAGTCCCTGCTCCACCCCCAAACCAAAAGCTTCTATCTTAGTGCAGAAGGCAATAAACAAGGAATAAAAGTGTTCAGCAGTGATCACTGCTACCTGGAAATTAAAACTGGCTGAAGACAGAGAACACATGGGCTTGGTGCTCAGGGCAAGCCCCCAATAGGTGACACCCAGCCCGTGTGCTTGACGTTGAGGGTCCTCTGGGCCTGTCCCCAACACTGCCTGTGCTCCTGGTCTCCTCATTGCTTCCCCACCCTGCCCCTCTGTTGAGCCACCATGAGCACCCAACTTCCTAGACACAGCTTGGGCGCTGGGCGGAGTGAGAAGGAGCCCATGGGGAGATGAGTAAAGAGGTGGGAAGGCAGGACCACTCCGGCCTGTGGCCACCAGAAGAAGGCAGGAGGCAAAACCTCTGGAGAGTCATGGGCAGGGAGAGGCGGCTTAAGGATAGATGCAGGGTCTGGTTTAAAGGGCAGGGGCATACAGTTTCTGGATGTGGTCCAGGGCTGGGGGGCTAGGGGCAGTGGTGAGCCTGAAATCTGTGAGCGGAGACGTCCTGGATTTGTGGCTCAGACCAGCGCTGCTGTAGGTGGTTGGGGGAAGGTAGCTGAGGATTGGGGTGCAGGGGCTGCGGGTGGAGAGGGTAATTCTAATTCCATTAGATGGCTAAGAAACACATCAGCAGGCAGGTCGCTGAGTCTCAGTGTGAGGAGGGGGGAGGCTAGAAGCCGCCACTAGAGGTGGCCGTGAGGCAAATGCAAAATAAAAGTCCTGGGAGGGGACGTGCCACCTCGAGTGAACTCAGACGGAAAGGCCTGTGACAGAGACCTGGAATGTGCAACTATGTGGCAGGTAAATGTCCTTGAGCCTTTTCTCAAGCTGCCCCTTCTCCTGCAATTCCTTCCTCCCCCATTCCCAGCCTCTGTCTGAAATCCTGTTACCCTTCACTGCCCTGCTCAGCGGCCCTCACCTCCAGGAAGCCCTCCAAATATACTCTCCCGCTACCTGTGATCTCTCACACCAACACTCCTGTAAGGCCTCTGTTTCCATTATCTGACTACTCTGATGCCCTGGGTTAAGGAATGGGGTCTGGGTCAGTCCTCCCAGGGCTATCTCCAAGCAGTGATGGGGACCCAGTAGCCAACCCAAAGAGGCCCTGGCTCAGCCCCAGAGACCAGGGGGTCAAGGGAGCACATCTCACCCTGCTACGGGGCCCTCACCTTATTATTGGCCAGGTACAGGTAATTGAGGTTGGTCAGATGCTCAAACGCTTCCTCTGGGAGCCCTTCAAAGGACAGGCATCAGTCAGAGCCCTGGATGAAGGAGACGCTACAGGGGAGCACGCCAGCGCAACCCAGCCCCCCCTCCCAAGCCTACCCCACTTCCGGGACAGGGGAGAGCATTCCCCTGGGCAGGCTCAGAGCTAATCCCTCCGCAGCCAGTCCCAACCAGCCTGCCCAGCCCACTGTCTTTCCCCTTGCTCATAGAGACACAAGCTCAGATGGGGAGAATCCACGCAGGGATAACAGACCCTTCAGTTGCTCAGCCCAGCCCAGGCTGGAGCAGATCCCCGATGGTCAGGCCATGGATGCAAGACCCGCCTGGCCCCTCCCTGCCGGCAAGGGGTGCTCTCCCTGGTCCAGAGCAGGGCAGGGCTGTGGTCCCTGAGCCTCCCCACTGTCTGGCCCACCCCTGCCCCATCTGGCAGGCACAATCAGGACTCAGCTGCCTCTGGGAGCCGGGCCAGGCTGGCCCTACTCCAGTCCTGACGCTGGCCTCTGACACTCAGTTCCAGGCTCCCAGACCCTCAAATGCTGGGGCTCACCCAAGTATCTACAGAGAGGGAACAGTTATATAAACTGCACCACGTTCCCCGTGGGATAGGCCCCTGCCACGGCGGGGTAAGCGACGGCCAGGCCGCTTTTAGCAACATGTGAAATGAAACTGCGAAGAGGAATAGGCAGTGATGACAGTATCTCAGCTCCACTATGAGCCAACTATGGGTGAAACAACAAAAGAAAAGAGACCTCACTGAACTGGGGTGAAGGCTGTACAACCGCATACACCCAAAACCCATCAGACTACTTTGAGACTGCATAAATCGTAAGGTCTACAGCCGTAACTTTTAAAAATGGAAAGAAATGTCCCAGATGCCAATAACGATCAACCCAAGTGGCAGAATAATGGATGAGTTTTTTTTTTCTTTTCTATTTTATTTTGTACATTTCTAAATTTTCTGTTGTCACCCAATTAGTATCGTCACCAGGGCAAAAATAACCATTTAAAACTTGAGGACTTCACAACTCTCTGATTCTAAGGTCTTCTGTGTGGACAAATCTATGACAAAGGTCTCAGAAGCCTCTCCCCTTCTGACTCCCAGGTCTCACAAGCACCCAGGGGTGCCTTTTAGGAAACCCTAGGGAGGCCCGTGCCTGGTGGCCCCACTGCCTGCCCAGGCTAGGCCTGCTCTTTCCCACACCCAGGGCCTGTAGGGCAGGGCTCTCCCTACAGGCATCCCCTGGCATCCCTGCGCGGGCTCTGGCTGAACTCACCTCGGGAAGTCAGGCGGTTGTTCTGGAGGTTGAGGGTCTCCAGGCCATGCAGCCGGGAAAGCTCCTCAGGGTAGATTTTCTCCAGCTGGTTGTTCTGGGGAGTGAAGGATGGAGGCATGAGTAGGCACCTTGGGGGTTCCCAGGGTCCCTGCCCCACTGAAGGCGCAGCCCGTCCTCAACCCCTGGAGCCAGTTCCTCCCATGGGCACCTCCCTGGGGAATCCTCCCTCCTCCCCACACCCCCGGTAGCAGGCAGCCCTGGGTGCTGGTTCTGCACCAGGCCTGGAGGTGCGCGTCAGTAACCAGTACAGACGTGTGGGCCCCACCTGCTAGGAACCCACACCTGGGTGTCCACAGGCAGTTCAGACTCACAGTGCAGCTCCAGACCTGCTCCCCGAGTGCTCCCCCCAGGACGGCCATTCCAGTGCAAGCCTGAAGCTACCCTTGGCTTCCTTTCGGCCCCTCCCTTTCTTACCATGGGGCGTTTTAAAACCCGGGTCTGAAATCTTCCCCGCTGGGCTCAGGGGCTGGATTAGGCCACTCTGGGCCCCAGGCACCAGTCCTTCCTCTCCAGCCATTGACTCTACCAGACTAGGTCTCTGCCTCTACAGGCCATCAGCACAAGGGCAGGACGTGCCTGAATCCTTCCTCCACGCCCAGCATCCCACACAGTACCAGAGTGTAGAGGAGGTCCCCAGGAGACATTGTATGAATGAGTGGGTGACTGAACCAACCCTAAGTGCTGCCCTCACCTGCCCCTCTCCCCCACAGGCCACCCTGGCCTCAGTTTCCACCACTGCCAGCCCAGGTAACCCAACACTACGTGACCATGGACCAGTCACTTTCCTTCACTGGTCCCGATCTCTGGATATGGGGGCAATGCTGTTTGCTCTCACCCCCACCAGGGTGATCATGGATGCGCCAGCATGCCAGAGTACCCTGCCTAGAATGCATGGTTTATTTCTTGAGGTTCCAAAATATAGCCCAAGCTTCAGCTGGGGAGAGTGCTCTGTCCTCTGAGCCCCCAGGGCATGTGAGAGGGTCTCCTTTGCTCTTCCATGCCTGGTCCCTAATGGTGTCTGGGGACCCTGTCCATTCAAAGGGTTAGCCACCGGACAGGTCTGCCCATTTCCAGACAGGGCTGGCTATGTATAGGCCACGGCCTGGACTCCTTCAAGTGAGACAAGGCAGGTTATAATGCCATGGCACTCTGGGCCCAGGCCATCAGAGGGTGGCCCTCCCCAGCGGGCCCAGACTGCTGGTGTCTGAGCGGCCCTAACACCCTTGTCAGGGGTGTGCATCTCGCAAGCAGGGGGCAGCCCGTGACCGCTGGTGCAGCATTGGCCTCACCTGCAGGGACAGGTGGTTGGTGCGCTCAGGCAGGCCTCCGGGGAACTCACGAAGGTCGATGCCCCCACAGTCCACAACGCCCTCCTGGGAGCAGGCACAGTCTCGAGGACAGTCCATCGTGGCTGGGCCAGGTACCGGCTCCTCGGGACTCAGAACCAGCACCGGCTCCTCCTCCACAAATTCATTCTCTTCGGGGCTCAGGCTGGGGGAGGCACTTCGGTCCAACACCGGGGCCCTCACGGCCAGCGCCCGTCCCAGCTGCAGCTGTGGAGGCAACAGCAGCAGGAGCAGCAGCGCCCTGCTCTGGGCCATGGTGCCTGCAAGAGGGGTTGAGCAGGGCTGACCGGGCCTGTTAGGTACGGTAGGCACATGTCATCACGGAAGCCCTGGGACTCAGGCGTGGTGTCTGACGTCCTGGGACACACCCCATCTGCTGACCACCGCACTTCCCCATACCAGCCCCATAAGCTTCGCCCTCTGCAGGGGGCTGGGTGAGGTAAAGCTCTCTCCAGGCCTGCAAAACCTTCCACAATCCATGTCAGGCCTGGCCCGGTGGGTCCCTTGGAGCTGCAGGGATGGGGGAGGGTGGCTTCAGGTCATGAGGAAAATGGTGGGGTTCCATCTCTGCAAGTTATGGTCTAGCTGGATTCAGAGCTCGTCCTTGGAGTTCTCTGTATAGGGACCCAGAAGACAGCTTTGCAGGGTGACAGGTTGTGATAAGGCAGTAGCTGAGGTACCTGACTCTGGAGTTCTCTACATCCACTTCTTGGTGGCTCTAACCTCACTGAGCTTCACTTCCTCACTTTACAACACAGACACTCCACCTAAACTTACAGCAGCTGGCACCAAGCCGGGGATGATGGCTGCTGTCCCCAGTGACTGTAAATGCAAGTGCACAGCAGTCTTCAGACTCAGGGGACCTGCTCCTTGCTCCACGCCTTTCTCCCCACCATTAGATGGGGGACCACAACCCACAGAGCAGTTAAAAGGGTCTGTTTAGGGCCCTCCCTGGTGGCACAGCAGGTTAAAGCACAGCACTAAGAAGCTAAAGCCGCTTCCGCATGAGTTCGATCCCGCCTGCCCCGGAGGTGACCACATGGCGTGGCAGACCTCTCCTGACCCACCCACTGCTCCCCTCAGCAGTGTACTTTGTCGATCTGCCTGTTCTGCTCCCCACTCTGTCTCTGGTGAACCCTCTTACCCATTGTGTCTCTGGCCTGTACCCCAGTTCTGTATGCATAAATGAATAATCTTTTTTTTTTTTTTTAAGCTTCTCATTAGAGGCTGGGCTTGCAACGGGCAAATTAACCTGGAGTTTGATGATGATACTGCTTAAGAAGGAGGCTCTGATGGGGGACTACAGGGATGGCTTACAGGTGATATGGTGGTGGGGGAGAGACCAATTACTGTACAGAAATGAACGACCACGTAAGAAAATAAATGAATGAAAAAGAAAAAGGAGGCGCTAGCTCCAGACAGATGGGGCTGTGCGGTCAGCTCTGTCTCTTAGTTTCGTGAATTTAGGCACATTTTGTCACCATTTGAACCTCAGTTCTGCACCTGTCCACGGAGTGGTCATTTTCACAGGAGACTGAGAGTCAGTGACAATCATGTGCCGCATTCACTAAGTGCTCAATACATGTTAGCGTGCCCTACCATTAATCTCTGATCTGTGGGCATCACCCACATACCACCCCTCCCAGTGTCTGCTCCAGAAACCCCACTTCTGTCCCTCCCCTTGTCTAGATATCACATGTGCCTTTCAGTCCACTCCAGGCCCAGCTCTCCCAGGGCTGCTGACGAGAGCCTGCCGGGAACTCCGCTAGTCTGAGGCTGCCACATATGTCAGCTTCCACTATGCTCACTCATTGGCTCAGTCAGTTCCCTACTGTGAGGGCCCTGCTCCCCTTGGCATGGTGTGGCACAGGGGTACAGGTGAGCTGGCCAGACCCTCAGTGTGGAGGGGGTTGGTACCCAATACCAACAATCACCAGGCAATAGTTCCAGACTGGGTGAGCTCTATGAAATATCCCACCAAGTATGTGACTCCACAAGGCCCCTGGCAGAGGAAATCAGTCTTGCTTCCCTCTATAGATCTATAAGACCTGAGCGAATGTGGGCCCAGCCACTGGCCTGGCAGAGGACCAGCACACACACAGCTTCATGGCTCCAAGGACCAGCCTGTAGCTGCGAGTGATGCATGCTGAGCCTGGCCTGTGCCCACTACCTCACCCTGCTGCCCCTGTCCCCTGCCCAAATGGGCTACAAATCCTCCCAGTCTACCAGTCACTCCTAGGTCAGGTTATAACAACCCCCCGACACCCCCCACACCCTATAGCTCAACAGCCTCTAGCCAGCACTAGACCAAAGCCGCCTCCCTGCCGCCTGTCTGACCCACTGTAGACAAGGGCTCTGGGGGGAGAAGTATGAACCCAGGTTCCAGTCAAGACAGGAAGCCGGGGAGAAGGTCCCTGCCCACGTATGCCGTGCACTACTGGATGGGTTATTTTTCCTCCCTCACCTTCAGTTTTGTATCTGTAAAGATCTGTACACTATCTATACAAAGGTAGTCACTTACATTAACATTATGAACCATACTGAACATATTATCATCACCACTTTAGAGATAAGGGAGCTGAAGCCTGGTGGGGTTGGCCACAGTAACACAGCTGCTAAATGGCTAAGCGAGCTTCCCACTCAGGTCTTGGCCTCAGTGGTCCCAGGCCATGTGCAAGTGGGCACAGAGGATTGGACACACCTCAGGCATGACTCCTGCCCTTAAGCAGCTCAGTCAACACTGTCCAATGTGTTGGCCACCTGTGGCCACTGAGCCCTTGAAATGTGACTAATCCAAGCTGAGGTGTGCTGTAAGGGTAAAGGGTCGGACTGAGGACAAAAGGAAAGACTTAGGACAAAAAGAAATGAAAAATATCTCAGTACTATTAACAGTTCAGAAAATCTCACTTATGGTTATACTGGCTAGTGATCATCATTTTGGATACATTGCATAAATAAGTTTATTAAAATTAATTTCACTTTTTTGTAGCATGGCTTCTAAAAAATGTTGTAATTATGGCTTATTCACATTATATTGGCAGCACTGGTCTCCAGCACCTGTAGAGGCTGGATACTATAATCCTAGGGTCATAGGAGGTGTGAGAGAGGGAAGTCGAGTCTATGAGCCTAGAGAAGACGAACCTGGCCTGGCTCCCTGTAAGAAGCTGTGCCTTCCCCAGCCAGGAGAGCTGAGCAGAGGCAGCGGAGAAAACGTGGCATGAGCAGGGGGCTCAGTGTGTGCAGACCGGGCGCAAGAGGGCCCACGCTGGCACCTCCATACGCTCACCAGAGTGTCTGGGGGATTCTGAACTGGGGGTTATGCCAGTGGGAGGTGGCTACAAGCTCAGGCCAAGAAGGGCCTTGAAAGCCAGGTTAGGGAGAGCGACCCTTTAACCCACCGGCGATAAGGAGCCGCTGAAGAGCAGGAGAGGGGCAGAGGTAGGTCTGTGGATGGAGCGGAGGGGCACTCTTAGAGAACAAGCACTGGTGCCCTGGGAGAACAAGCTCTCTGGGCAGATCCGGAGGTACTTGACTAAAGGATGGAGAGGAGATGCTGGACTCAAGGGGGAGGAAGGAGAGGGCTTGCCCGGTGGTGGGCCTTCCTCGGGACAGTACGATCCTGGACAGCTTTCATTCAGCCGCCTGCTTTGCTGTGTGACCTAGGACACCTCACCAGCCCACCCCAGTCTGAACGTTCTCTGTTCTAAGAATGTTGAACAAGAGAAGGCCCCAGAGTCCTTTGTGTGCCCTGCCCTGCCGTGTTGGGGTGTGTGTGGAAGGAGAGAGAGCTGATCCCTGATCTGCGGAAGTTGCCCTGATGAGGAACAACCACACCCTGAGCTCAGCAAATGCTGGCGGAGGGTCCTCGGTTTGAGGCAGAGCATCCTCACATGGCAAACTTCGCTGCTGGAAAGACAGGGCCCCATGTCTGGCTGCTGTATGGTCCTGCCGGACTCCCTGTTCTCCCCTTGGCCTCCGTGTACTCCAGACAGTGGAGACGGCAACTCTTGAGGAGGAGTACATGAAAGGGCAGGCCTAGCCCGGGACCTACATGGGATTAGCCTTCAGAGGAAGCGCTGCATTCCACTGTCTCCCCACCTCCCTGCCTGGAGAACCAAACCTCAAGGCCCAGAGGGGAATTAAGGCAGGCTTTAGAAAGGGAGACCTAAATCAAGAGGTGTTTCTAGGCCAGGGCTCCACCTCCCTCCTGTGGGAGGGGGGGCGGGGGGGGTTTGTAAAAAATCAATTGATCAATTGTCCACTCTGCACGGCCCTGAACAGCTAGCTACATCTTGTGAAGTATAATAAACATTCTGAGACTACGTGTTCTTATTTTGCAGATGAGGAAATTCAACCACAAAGGGAGTCCCACTTTGTCCTACAATTCCCAGCAAATGTCTACTCAAAAGTCCCTGCTCCTGGGAGTCCAGCCCTCTGGGCTGGGGTAGGGAGCAGCTCCTTGATGCCCCCACCACACTCCTGGCCCACTGCATCCTTCTAAGCTCAAGGAGGCCTACCCTGACTCCGCAGGCATGCACAGGGTGCTCAGGAAATGTTTCTGTATGAAGGAATTTGTGAAAGCCAAGGTGAAAAAGACCTGCAATATTATCTGGTCTGACTCCCTCAGTTTACCTACTAGCATGTTAAAGGCAAGGCCAGATTAGAATGTGTCTTCTGACTCCTGGCCAGAGCCTTACGCAGTTCTTGAAGGCTGAGTAGAAGTTATTCAGGTGGATACAAGGGAGGAAAAGCATGAGTAATGTCCAGTGTGGGGGAAGGGAGAAGAGTGAGGGGTGTTTAAGGAAGGGACTGAAGGTCCAAGCCTCCAAGGGCATTAGTCACCATGCTAGGGTGTTGGGAATAGGGGGCCATCCAGGGTTCCAAGTAGAGTTTTCAACTACCAGGTCTAAAGATCATCCCACCCCCACCCAGCCCAAGATTCTGAAAGAAGAGACAAAGTTTGCTCCCACAGCGTTCATGAAAATGGTCAAATGAATCTGACATTTAATTTGCACTCTAGAAGGGACTGAGCTGAGGACCCTAAAAGTGGACATGACAATGCAGGGACTCTCTCAGCTCACAATCGTGGGAGCCAGGTGGGCCACAGCTTCACCTTCTGCCCCACAGAAGTCCAAGGGTTGAAGCTCAGGTTGCACGGGCCTGGATGTGTACCTTAGGCACCCCAAGAGCCAGCGAGCATTCCCGGCCGGCGCCCAACCCCGTGCCAACTTAAAGGCCCCTGGGTGGTCCCCGCTGTACTCACCGTTGTGCACGCTCTCGGCGGTAGCTGCGACCTCCCACTCCCAGCCCCAGCTGCAGCCAGGAGCTCGCGCCGCAGCCGCCGCCGCCACCACCACCTCGTCTTCCACCTGACCGCGCGCCGGGTATTTTAACCCCACCGTCTAGTGCCCCGCCCCAGACCAGGCTGGCGGTTCCAGAACCCACAATACGGTTTCTGCCGCAGTAGCGGGAAGGCGCCCAACTCACTTCCCTTGATCGGTGCCCCCACCCCACCCCTACCCCTTCTCTTGCAGCTGTCCCAGGCGGGAGGAAGCCGCGTAGACAGACCGACACCAGGCGGCCAGCTGAGCGCTTTGGCTCCGCGAGTGCGCGGCGCTGGACCGAGGAGCCGAGCCCAGAGCGGGTGCGGGCGGCCGACGCTCGGACTCCACCTGTCCGCGCGTCCCCGTCCCGGGGCATCTCTCTGCCCCTCTCTAGGCCTCAGTTTTTCTGTCTGTAAAAAGGTCAGGAGTGGGCTAGCTGAAGTGAGCTGACGTGGAAAGACACAGTGTTCTCTGCGCCCAGACATTGAAGTTCTGGGGTCCACGCCCCTCCCCAGTTCCACCTGCCCCCCAAAGCCCCCCCTCCCCACCCAACACACACATTCCCAGTCGCCCCGCCGGCATCCTTTCACTCCCCCTTCCAGTCCACCCTCAGATTCTTTCCAGATGTGGGCGGCGGGAGGGGCCCGGGGACTGGGACCAGCCTCTGGCCAGAGGGGAGAAAAGGCTCGCGCCGGGTCCGGACCGCGGAGGGGTCGTGTCGGTGAGCGAGCTCTCGGTGCGCCCCCTCAGTGCGGGGCTCCCCAAAGGGGGCGACAGGCGGTGCCCCCGCCCGGGTTAACCGCTGGGTCACAGGCGGCGGAGTCCGACTGTGCGGTTCAGGGCCCAGGGCCCTCCGCCTGCCCGGCCGCCCGCCCAGTACCTGCTGCGCTCCCGCGCCGCGCCGCGCCGCGCCCAGCCGGCGGAACGCGCTCTCCGAGGGTCTGCTGCGCTCAGCGGGCGCGGGCTCCTTCCATTCAAGTCGAGCCGTGCGCTCGGCGACGCAAGTTTCGTTGTGGGTTTTCTTCTCCCCGCCTCTCCCCCGCCCTGTGCATCTGCCGGACGCCGGCCTCCTCCGGACACAGGCGTGGGGTCCCCGCAGGCGCCGGGAGGGAGGGCCTGTCCCCTTCCCGCGTTGGCCTTGGCGCGGCCCCACTTCCCGGGGAGACAGAGCCGCCACACCGACCCCTTCTCCCTCCTGGTGGGGCCGCCTAACCTCACCCCACCCCCTTAGGAGACTGGAAAGGCGGGGTGTCTAGCCCATAAGCTTCTTGGTTCTCAGCCTTCTGCAGTGGAACTGGACCCCCGTTAGGCCTCAGCACCTGAAAGGAGAGTAGGGGACTTCTTCAAGTGCCTCCAGGCTCAATTTCTCCCTCATGGCAGTGGATTTTGCAACCACTCCAGGCACGAGTACCTTTCCGTTCACACTCCCACCCTAGGGTCCTGGGCCGTGGCTAACAGGGACTCCAGCCAAAACTTTGCTGGGCCCCTTCCCGGAAAAGTTTCCCGCCCTCCCTCTCCCTCCACCTCCCACGTTGGCCCTGGGCCTGCAGCCTGGTAAGCCTTGAAGGACAGAACATTGAACTGGGAGCAGGGTGCCGGGGGATCCCAGTCGTAGGAGACAAGGGGAGTGACTAGTGAACCCTCCCAGCATCATATTGCTCTCAGGAACGGAAAAGGTTTCCAAGTAAACGAGTATTAACCACTAGCAGCTGAAGCAACACTGTCTAGTGCCAGGGGCTTCAGTGGTGGAAGGAAGTGGGCCTGGGTTTAGGTGGTACTTGGCATCTCCACTACCTAGCAGGGCCCTTCCCTATACCTGCTCTGGCCTGTGAGCAAAGCACCCACCCTTAGCTCACCAGGCTGCCCTCCTACTGGAGAGGGAGCTGAAACAAACTTGGGAACCCTTACTCAGCCTAATTTGCCAGGATCCCATGTGTGAAGTCTTCAGACCCTTTCCCTGGCACCTGCTACATCCTGCTTGTAGCATTTCCATTATTTTCTTCAAACCCTACAAGAGGATGGCTGGTGTCCCTATTCACGAGTAAGGAGACATCCTTAGAAAGAAGTGACAAGGAGTAAAATGGACAGTTTTGTCCTTCTTTATTGTCCAAGTTCTTCCCATGACAGGCAGGAAACTTGAACATTTAAGTGAGAACCCTGGATTTGAACCCAGGACTGTTTGTTTTCATTACATCAGTAACTCAAGAACTTAATGAGAATGGGAAAGGGAAATATTTTGCCTTCTTTGGCCTCAGATTCCAGTTGTCTCTGAGCTCAAACTTGGAGAGTTGGTATGATTCACAAAATTGGCCAGTAGCCATAAAGAGAGAAGCATCTCATGTCTCTCAGCATTGAGCCTAGATGCAAGTAGAGCTACAGAACAAGATAATGCCGGCTTGACAATCTTTGAACTAAAGAAAATCTCCTAAGACGATGAGAACTAGTGCATACTGAGTGCCCACTAACTGCCAGGCACCATGTTAAATCCTAATCTTAAATCATTCCAATCCTGTGGGAAATATTCTCTGCTGGCTGGTGACTGTTGGGACCAACCACAGGGCATACCACCTCCTGCTCCTTCCCCCCACCTCAGAGAAATAGCTCTTCTGTGGAATGCCAGTGCCACACACGCTCTGTGACTGTCCAGGGCTATAGACACAAGCTGCAACCACTGAAGTGAAGTGTAATGTTGAGGAATCACTTTGAATGTCATTGGTGGCAAAATGGAATCATCATGTTCTAGAAGCAAATCCTCTAGCTCGCTAACTTTCAGAAGGGTTGTAAAGCAGAGCTGAGTTTGTAGTGCAGTTTCCTGACTCTATTTGGCTCCTGCATGCCGCCCTTCAATTTCAGCGCCTGTTTAATGTTACTATAATGCATGGTGTCAAGTACAAGCTACAAGCCTAGACCTAGGTTCAAGTCCCAGCTGGGTTCCAATGGAGTTACACTTCACAGAATGTCTGAATGACACAGAGCCAAGTATAGGACTCTACAGCATCAAGCAAGTGGTAAGTTTTTGACAAATGGCAACTGCTGTAATTCTAATACTATAAAATCATCACCAAGGTGGGACAAAACATCCAGGAAGACTTATTTAATAAAAAGCATGAGTAGCAAGAATTAAACTTCTGCACTGTACCAGGTGTTTCTAATTCAAAACAATAAGAAACAAGAAGGAAGGAGTAAACATATATAGTCAGAGAGAACTAGGAGTGAAGGACAAGAAGTCTACTGAAAGGTTTTGATGATGAAGGGAAAATAAGGAATAAGATAAAAGGAGATAAGTTGTTATAATTTATCAGAGAAGAAAGTAATTTTTTCTTGGATTTGAGGCTCAAGACCTTCCTAATTAACAACAAAAAAAATAATTTAAAAACTAGGGCAAAGGGCCCCCTCCTTGGTGGCACAACAGGTTAGGCACAGCACTATGAAGCTACCCAGAGCCACTGAGTCATGAGTTTGATCCCTGATCAGGGAGCTGACCCACATGGTATGGCAGACCTCTCCTGTCTCACCTGCTGCTCTCCTCGGCAGGATATTTCAGTCAATCTGCCTATTCTTCTCTCCACTCTCTCTGGTGAATCCTCTTGCCCCCACACCTCTGGCTTATACCATTTCTTATATACATAAATAAATAAATCTTTTTAAAAAAATAGAAAAAAACTAAAAAAGACCTTACTAAATAGTAGGGTCCCAAGTACTGAGCTATCAAGCAGCTTGATATTCTAGACACTTAGAAATCAGTTTATCTGGTGTTTTATTTATAGAGAATCCACCTGAAGTTTTTTGATAAAAGACAAGATCTATCAAAGAACAAACAAGGTATGATGGAAAAATCACAGGCCACCTCAATTATAAAAGTCTCCTAGGTTCCTATAACATCTCATACAACATCTTTATTGTTGGGACTTTTCTTGCTATACATTTTTAATCTTTCCCCCCACTGGATTGTAAACCTTTCAGGTCAAAAACCTTATCTCATGTTCTGTAAGTTTCATTTTTAGTTCTTAAAAAAAAAAAGTCATCATGTAGTCAGGGTCATAATGGGTCCTCAAATATGACCATGCCCTTATAGAGAAAGGGACTCTGCAGATGTAAAGGTTATTGACCTTAAAGTAAGGCGATTGTCCTGTATAATCCAGGTGGGCCTAACCTAACTAAACTCATAAACAGAGAACTTTCGCTAGCTGGAAGTAAAAGAGATGAGGAAGAAGGAGGAAATCAGAGATTTGAAACCTGAAGACTTGACTAGCTTGAAAAGGTGCAGGGAAACCAGGCATCCTCTAGAAACTGAGAACACCCTCCCTCTTGCCTGCAAGATTACAAGAACTTCAGTCCATGGCAGCATGGAACGGAATCTGCCAATAGCCCAAATGAACATTATAGCATTTTCTCCCCTCAGAGCCTGCAGGTAAGAGCCCAAGGCAGGCCCTCCCTGGTGGTGCAGCGGGTTAAAGCGCAGCACAAAGAAGCTAAAGCCACTTCCGCATGAGTTCAATTCCCGCCTGCCCCGGAGGAGACCACATGGCGAGCCAGACCTCTCCTGACCTGCCCGCTGCTCCCCTCAGCAGTGTACTTAGTCAGTTCTGTCCGTTCTGCTCCCCACTCTGTCTCTGGTGAAACCTCTCACCACCCCTGAACCTCTGGCCTGTACCCCAGTTCTGTATACACAAATAAATAAATCTTTAAAAAAAAAAAAAAAAAGAGCCCAAGGCAGCCAACACCTGACTCCAGCCTCTTGAGACCTGAAGCAGAGAAATCACAGAACCCACCCAGACTTGTGAGCTACAGAACTATGAGATATTAAATCTGTGTCATGGTAAGCCATTGAATTTGTAGTAATGAGTAAGGCAACACTAGAAAATGAATATGAACATAATAACTAAAACAGATACACAGTACACCAGCATTACCCTACACATTATTTCACTTATTCTTTACAACACATGTTAGTATTATTGCTCCCTTATTTTAAGAAACTGATGATCACTAAGGATAAGTAACTTGCTTAGGTGATCAGTTAACCAGTACTTGAGCCAGAATCCAAACTCAGGTTTCCAAATGACAACCTATGAGTATCTCATGCACTGCAGCTATTATTTTATGATTTGACGGTTTTACTTTCTTAAGCAAAATAAAAGATGGACCAAAAAACCAACACAAAAAACAAAAGTTGCTTTCCAAAACTATGAAAATATTCAAAAGTTTTTACATTTCTTCCATAGGTAGCTAGTAAGTTATAGAACAGGTCAGAGTATAAACAAGTAAATAAAAGATAATCAAATATGATTTGAAAAATGGCAACAGGGCCCTCCATGGTGGCGCAACGGGTGAGATCGCAGCCCTGCAAACTGGCCGCAGCCACTTCAGTGTGAGTTCCATCCCCGCCCTAGAGGTGATCCACATGGCACAGCAGACCTCTCCCGACCCGCCTGCTGCTCCCCTCAGCAGTGTACTTTGTCAATCAGCCTGTTCTGCTCCCCACTCTGTCTCTTGTGAATCCTCTCACCGCCCCTGCACCTCTCTGTTCATACCCCAGTTCTGTATGTATAAATAAATAAATCTTTAGAAAAAGAAAAATGGCAACAGGAGAAATTCTCAAGAGTAGCTGTCAATTAAATATCTTCTCCCACTCAGATGCTCTTTCAGCCACTGTTAAGGTACATTGTTACAATGAGATGCCCTGTTTTGCCTGCAAAGGTAAGGAATATCTGTGTGATTAGAGCTTGCAGTCCACACATGACCAGAAAATTCAACTGATTTTCTATCTGAAATTTCTACTTTCTGTATTTCTTCCATTACTTCTAATAACTAAGCAAAAATAATTCTTCCTCCACTTTTTTCCTTCCATCTCTCAAATATTTGTGAATAGCTATCACACTCTTCCAGAAGGTATCATTTTGCCCAGCTGAAGCATCTTCCAGCCTGTTTAAATTAGCTTTTCTCTTACACTGCTGTGTTTTCAAGTCAAAATTCCTTTCCCATATATTTCTGTTCTAGTGGAGTATCTAATCTGGAATATTGTTTTGTACACAGAAGATGCCATATTCTAAAAGGTGAATTATACACTTTTTACTACGATATGATACATAATATATATGTAGCTTGAAAAGAAAAACAGTAGTAAATTTCTGTTTGGTGGTTGGCTAGGAAACTGTAGCCCCTGGTGCCTCGCTGGCTGCAATATAGAAATAAACAGTAGACTACAACAAATTTCTCCCAATTTTACTTTAAAAGCTATGGCCACAAGAAGTTCAGTAACTAAAAGATCATGTGCTCTGTAAATTCTTCTGAAACAGTGCTGTGAATATTTAAAATTTAAATGACACTTAATAGACTAGGCTATGAACATTTCTTTTTACAATAAGTTTTGGATGTAAAACATTAAAAAAAAAACATTTCTCCAAGAAGTTTGGCTAAAATTTCATACCAGATTAAACTTCCTGCCAAATAGAATCAGCCACTACATTTCTTATTTCTGACCCAATATTCTCTGTTCTTACTAAGAACTAAAGAGCTGTTTGTTTGCAGCTGTCTCCAGATAGATATTAATACTAAACCTTTCCAGTGATTTTGTAACTCTATTGAGAAAAATCCTAAAATTTGGCCAGAGAAGACTGTGGCTCCTAATAGCAAATAAATCTTTCAAGACCCTCGTTAGATGTTTAGTACTATATTCAAAACTCCTAATTCATATCGGTGTGGTCTCTAAACAAACTCAATACTACAGAGGAATTTACTCAAGAGATCCAATCTGCAGGATTATTTTACCCACGTAAGTATAGTCGCAAAACTAATGATTTTAGTGAACACAGAACTTACTTGGCTACTTTGCTTTTAAAAAAAAACATGTAATGGCCCTCCCTGGTGGCGCAGCGGGTTAAAGCGCAGCACTAAGAAACTAAAGCCACTTCCCCATGAGTTCAATTCCCGCCTGCCCCGGAGGTGACCACATGGCGTGGCAGACCTCTCCTGACCCGGCCACTGCTCCCCTCAGCAGTGTACTTCGTCGATCTGCCTGTTCTGCTCCCTACTCTGTCTCTGGTAAAGCCTCTCACCACCCCTGAGCCTCTGGCCTGCACCCCAGTTCTGTATGCACAAATAAATAAATCTTAAAAAAAAAAAAAAAAAACATGTAATGAACCCACAAGTAAACTGACTTCTTTCTTCGGGCTACTTCAATATTAAGCTGAAAGATTATTCTGAGAAGCTGCAGATACTTTTCAAAGAAAAAAAGAGAGTAAGTTGAACAAAAGGAGAATTTTTAATGTTCTCTTTCATCATCAGGGCAATGGAAGGTCATGTAATAAGACTGTATTTCTATGATGAGGTTCCTATCATCAGAAATGCCCCTGGTGAATACGAAATATTCAGCTTATTCATTTACTTAATGATACTAAGCCAAGATTTGTGCTAGGGGTATCAAAATGAATTAATGAGATACAGTTCCTGCCTTTAAGGAGCTGTTTGGTGAGACATCACTACAAAGGACAATAGGCTTTATTTTGACAAACAGCAACAGTTTTCTGAAAGCTAAGGCAACTTATCAAGGATGTAAAGGAACTTGCCAAAAGGAGGAGATGGAGGGATGGGGGAACAGGAAGAGAGTGGTAAGGATGGGCACAAAAGAACAGCATGTACAACGTGACCTGAGACCTGAAAGTATTAGCTAATGTGCTTGCTCTGTATGAATCCCTTGAAAATTGAACATGTCACAACCAAATGGAACTTCTCAGTCTTTATTATTCATATGTCTTATGAAACAAAATCCAATCTAGCTTTTTATTCTAACTAATCCACTGCAACTGATTTTGTAGCAATCACCAGTGACTTTCATTTTGCCAAATTTAATCCAATCGACACTTTTCAGACATGATTCTACTCGACTCATAGTACCATAGGGCACAGTAGGCAATTTCCAAATTTTGTCTATACTCTCACTTCAGGAAATTTCCCTTCCTCTTTAGCCCCTCTTCGTTATCCTCTTTTGACAGATTTTCTTCCTCTACCTGATTCTAAGAGTCAAAAGTTTCTCAAGGCTGACTCAAACCCCTCTTCTTCCTGTTCCAAAAAGGATATGATCCATTCCTTCAGCTTTAAATACCATCCATATGATCAGGTCTTCCAAATGTTTACCTCCAGGCTAACCTCACCACTAAGCTCCAGCTTTGTCAACCCAACTACTTGGTAGCTCCATTTCGGAAGCTCTCAAGCATCTCAAAGTTAACAACTTGAAAAGTAGTGCTTATTTTTTTTAACTACTTTTCCTGAACTCACCTTGTCCCCTCATCATTTCAGTTATAACCCACCAATCATTCACCTGGTTAGTCACCAGAAGTCATTTCTCCAAGTCTCCAAGTTCTGTTAGTTATACCTCTGCCTACTTTTTCAAACCTATCTCCACCACAGACCAGACTTCCAGGACATCATCTTCTTGTACTTGGATATCCACTCCTCCAGTTATCTACCCCCAATACGTTCTCCATGCAGAAGTTACAGTGATCATCCTAAAGCACAAATTCAAATGTAACTGGCTCCTATGTACAAATCCTATCTCATCTTGTGTCTGTCCTTCAAGCTCACTAGATTTCACTCACATTGGCCTCTTGCAATTTGGGGGACAAGTCAAGACTCCTTTTCATCCTTTTATATAATATTCTTTGGACGGGTCAGTCACTTCTCAGCCTTTAGATTTCAGCTTAAATATTATTTCTTCAGAAATGTCTCCTTTAAATACTTTATCAAAGATGGCCCTTCACAGCACCCTGATCATTTCCCACATAGCACATCATAGTTCATGATAATTATTTATTTCTCTGAATATCTCTCCCACTAAACTGTAAAAACTATGAGGGAAGGGGATAACCATTGTCTCCATTGGCTAGCACTGAACCCTCACTATAGTATCTTTTATATGGTAGACACTCAGTAAATATTTACCAAATGAATGAACAAATGAGAAAGACTTTAAAAAAAAATGGAACATAAGAAAATACCATACATTATCAAATCACTTACCTATGAGGTGATGGCAGTGAGCGGACAGTAAGGGAATTCAAATATACAGAATGACTATGATGTACCTACACTGATATAGGTACTCTCCATATGTACCCTCTCTACATACTCAATAATGCTAAGAAGTCAACATCATTGTCTCCACTTCATAGATCAGGCAACTGATGCTCAACCTGCCCAAGTAGAAAATTCAGGAGCAGCAAATCCAGACCTATTAACCTCTTTCTTCCAAACCATGCTTCCATAGAAATTAAACTACTGCTGTATTTCATCACTTAAGTATTTTTCTATTATACATATAAATACATTTATATATGAATACATTTCTACCCCCAAAACCAGTTTTTGTTTTCCTTTTTTGTTTGTTTTGTTTTTTAGGCCCATCCTAAAGCCTATTTCAAATATTTCTTGCTATCGGGGAGAAGTGAAGGCACAATGATGCAATAAACCCAAACTACAGATTAATAAAGCAGCATACTGGGATTATTATTTTTTTTTTGAAGCCTTTTTCTTGTCAGAGTTAAAAAGCTACTATGATTAGTTAGTAGGTTTGCATTCTGAGTTTATTCTATGAAACTTGAGATCAACTTATACTGCCATAATTTACCATTTTGCCTAATCACGAAATCTGCTGGTCACAAATCATGCAAAGCTAAATGCTTAAATGGATCTGATCCATAGTCTGGATTTGATACCAAAGGCTCCAAGCGTCTAAACAAATTAAATAACCTGGCTTTAAAGCAATGTTAGTTCAGGCTGAAGCAACATGTTAATGTCAGAAAAGTAGGACCTGGAAAATCCTTAAGCAGTTCTGGATTCTGAGTGGACTCACAGAATTATTACAACAGAAGGGACCTAAAAGATCATATGCTTAAATCCCCAATTCTTAACAGAGGTAGTTGTTGATTTTGCCTAGGAGAAGCATGACTCCTAGCTCCTATTCAAGTGCTCCTTCTGCTGAAACACACTTCCTCCCCAATCAAGATTTAGTGATCCTTTGTGTCAAAGTAACCCAGTAGGTAACACAAAACATAAATACCATGGCGTTTTTCTTATTCGCCATCATTAAGAAACCCTCGAATCAACAAGAAGCTAGAATTACTAAGAAGCTAAAGCCACTTCAGCATGAGTTCGATCCCCACCCCAGAAGTGACCCACATGGCACGGCAGACCTCTCCTGACCTGCCTGCTGCTCCCCTCAGCAATGTACTTCCTCAGTAGGCCTGTTCTGATTCCCACTCTGTCTCTGATGAGTCCTCTCACCACCCCTACACCTCTGGCTTGTACCCCAGTTCTGTATGCATAAATAAATAAATCTTTCAAACAAGAAATAAAAGAAAGCCCTGAATGAGAAATACATACACAATAAAAACAAAGGAGATCAGGACGAGCTTTTTTATTTTTCAATTAAATATTCTTCCAAAAAGTAGTATTTTACCTAATCTTATTAAATTATAGGAAAATAAGATTAGTATTAGAAAAACTAAGATAGAAAAATTAAATGTAGATAGTTAAACTTACATGAAGAAAAGAAAATTATACAAAGGATCAAGAGCTTTACAATTTTAATTAAATTACTATGAGATTGTGCATCTCAATGCAAATTTTATTCAATATTTTTTAACAGTTTTTTTTTTTAAATGACTCTAATATACTGGCTTTTTCAGAAGGAAATCAATTTTAAAAATATTTTTATTTTAAAAATAGCCCTGGTGCAACTGTAGTCTTTTCTCCCAAGTACTAATCATATTTATTTTAATTGGAGAATAAAATACCATTTCTGATGGCATGAAATGCAAATATTTTAAGTTCTTTTTTTTTTTAATTCCAGTACAGAACTTTTAAAACTATTAATGGAAAATAGATTTAGGTCATTAAGTGTACAACACTAATTCCTAGCCAGTTACTGGTATACTGTTTCTTCCCTAGTTCTCCCAAGGAAAACTTAAACTCAATCTTCAGCAGAATAATTCTTAAACATACTTTATAAGCAAAATGAGAGCTTCTGTTTACATAGTTTTTGGATTTTGCTGTTCCCAATTTTATCTGAAACTCAATATTACCCCAAGCCATAATTACCATATTAACTTTGTAATGCACAATTGTATGTAATTCAGCTAAGCAGTAGTTTACCATCAGGCTCTATTCACCCAGTTTAGGAAAAACAGAATCAGGCACACCCATTTAAAAACAAACCTCATGCTATTGCCAATGTGTGCTTTCAGTCTAAGTTATGACAATAAAATATGTGGATATATCTCTATATCTATATATCTCATCTTGATTTTCAAAAGTAAGCAAAGGGAGTTCTTCACAGCTTAGCTTTGCCTGACTGAAGCTGAAGATTCTGTAACTTCATAGCCAGACCCATGTTGCCAGTGATTTTCAATTTGCCTTGAAAAAAGGCCTGTGAATAAAAAGAAAATTAAGTTTATTACTTGGTGTTTTTTTGTTTTGAGATTGTTAATATTTCTACACTATTCAGTATAAGATCATTTATTTATCCCAGTCACTAAAACTTCTTCAAAATATGCAAACTTGGCTTCTGAGCTAGACTTAAAACCAACCAGATTCCTCAAAGGACCTGCAATAATACACAACACACAATAATCCAAAGGCACATCTTCCCAACGGTCTTCTCTTAAAAACTGAGTCTCCTTTACCTCAAAGACAGCATATTTTCTTTCTATCTACCTTTCTTTCTTCCTATCTATCTCCATCCATCCATCCATCCGCCATCCATCTATTTAAACTGAGGTGACATTGTTTTATAACACTCCTCAGATTTATGTCACCACACCATACCTACCACCAAAGTACCCAATCCTTTACCATCGACCACTGGACCACCCCACTCCCACGAAAAAGGTAGTGCATTTTCTAAACGTCAGGTAAACTGGTTTCATACTAGACTGATTTTGCTTAAAAACATTAGATGCAGGTTGTGAATGTAAATGGATACTTTCAGTAGCCTGCTGGGAGAAGAAGCATAGGCATAACACCCTTAAAAACTCTTGGAATCTAATGGAATGTAAATGAAATATCACCAATTTCCTACCTACAGGGAGGCCAGGCAGCCTGCTGAGACCGAGGTGCTTGTGTTCATCTTTGGCTCAGCAAAGGAAATCAAACCAATCTGAAGTGCTGAGCCACAATTCGTTCCATTTAACAACTGCCTGGGATTAGATCACATGATGCTTGCTAAATTTATCATGTAACAGAATCCTGGGAAAACTTAAGAGCAACAGCAAAATTGGGAACATGATTTCCCTGCTACGATCCCAGTCTTTTAACTCAATTTGGAAAGTAAGGGAGGACACAGCGAAAAGGTATCTGGCAGTCACAGCTTTCTAAGCAAGTATATTAAAAAGTTAGCAGCTCTTTGTACCTCACCCATGGGAATGCACAGAGCTCTGCTTTTCCTACACCTTCTGGTAAGGGTGACTAATTCCTTTTTTTTTTCTTTTCTCCCGCCTCCAACTGGACAAACTAAATATTTCCTTTTTATATGGCACACAGCCACCTTCTTTCTGTCTGATGACTTAAAGGTCAGGTGTCTCAGAACACAACATACTTAACATATATCCTTTAAATATATGGACAAGTAGTATCTAGAAGAGAAACCATCTTTCCCTCTTTTAAACTAAAAGAGACTGTTTATTTTCAAGTTATTATGAGGAAAATATGAAACCTTTAAGCTTTAGAAAATCCAAGCAAACACAAAGTTAATTTTAATCTGGTTCCTAGGTGTTCTTCATGTGAGCTGGAGAGCACATTGCTTTGTTTTAACTGTAGCCAAACACTGAAATTATAATTTCCACTGCACTAATGGTCTCCAGCCAAATTCTCCACTGAGCATAAGGGAAGGTCATTAGCACATTAACAGAAAGATTTGTCATTTTTATCTTTAATTCCTTTGGTGCTAACAGGTGTTCAAGAAAAAGAAGTTGACACTTTGCTCCCCAAAATGGTAAACAGAAAAACTGAGAGAACAAGGGCAGCTGACAAATGAAGTGTGCCCACCCTGTCAAAGGAAGTGCAGGATGCACGGTGATGAGGAGCAGTGGGTGGGCAGGAGGATGGCAGCCAGCTCCTATACTGGAGGCCTCTGTTCCGTCCAGATTTTTGGGGTGGACTCAATGTCAGTGCCAAAGGTGTAAATGTCAGTGCCAATGGTGTGTATTCAGCTGAAACATCATAGATGGTATTCTCTCACTCATCAACATGTCAACTGAAATATGCCTGGTTGCTGAGAAAAAGTATTTAAAAAGAAGTAAGAGTGGAATTCAGATTGAATTGTTTTATCCAATTACTAGGGAACCACAGGAACATAACTAAACTAAATAAAACTGAAGCAACAAAAATAATAAGGTTACAGTGAAAAGAAGCATCTTAATTTCTTATTTGTTCTCTGGCTAACAGAAGCTCATTATATCAAGTCTGTTCAACACTGTGTGACTGAAGAATACAAAGATCCTTGACGATTCAGGGATCAGTACATTTTAAACAAACAGAATTGAATCTGAGAATGGTAAAAACCTAAAACCATAAGGCATCATGCTAAGTTTTGTAGACATGTGGTTTGTTCCTTTGAGATACTCACAATCTAATGAGTAAGAAGATTATATTATATTTCTCACTATAATATAATCTGACTAGTGCTAAACTAGCAGTCATAAGTGGTCCAGAAGAGGGACTAGCTGCAGCACCCCAACAACTAGAAGAAGGTGGTTGGAGATAACATCTGAGCTAATTTTGAAACATAAGGAGTTTGTCAAAGAAAGTCAGTCCAGGAACAAGGAGTATGCATAAGGATTCCCTGGTGGTGTAGGGGTTAGAGTTTCAGTGCTATTAAGCTACTGCCACCCACTGCAGCATGAGTTCAATCTGGCCAGGGAGCTGACCCACATGGCACAGCATACCTCTCCTGTCTGCCCCTCCTCACCCCCTCCCTGTTCCTCTCAGCAGTGTATTTCAGTCTCCTGTCTGCTCCCCATTTTATCTCTGGTTCAATCCTCTCACCCTGTGCATCTTTGGCCTGTACCATAGTTCTTGTATGCACAAATAACATAAAATAAATCTTTTAAAAAAAAAAGAGCATGCATAAACACAGAAAATGTAAAAGGCAATGCCTTTGCCCACCATGCTCCCTCCACCTAGACTGTTTCTGCTTTACATTTGAGTACTGCTGCCTTCTGGTCACCTGAGGATTCAGGTCAGGTGTCACTTTCTCTGAATCCAGGTAGACAAAGCTGCTCCTTCCTCCACCTTCCCTTAACCAAAAGCCAGGCATGGCACCTGGATCCTTGGCTGCACTTACTCTTTTACAGATCTGTCTCAATCCAAATTGTGGATGCCCTCAGCATGGGAACTATTTTCTTATTTTTTGGGGCATTTCCAGTACAAATACCTGTGTCTGGAATTACATAAACATTTACTTCACAAATGTTTGCCATTTGTTAAATGAACACATTGGGGATCATCAAGTTTTGTAGATCTGACTTCTTTGCACTTTATGGAATTAGACAGAGGCAGAAGGTGAAGGAGAAAGGGCTGAAAGTCCCTGGTAGAAAATATAAGTTCCATCATACTTACCGACTGAGGGTTCATTTTACCAGTCATCAAAGCCAGTAAGTCCGAGTCAGCCATTGTGATTGTGCAGTCAGCCTTCTTATCTAAAAAAAGATATATAGGAAAAGAAGAAAAGGGAATAGCTTAGTTTAATATAGACATTTTAGTCCAAAGTCACTAACTGCAACAGAATCAAATCCAGTACTAGAGCAGTCTGGGAAAATATGTACTTCTCTGGCAGCCTGGTTAAATGTGGCATAAATAACAAGCAACCATGTTTTTTAACAAGAGAACTGATTAATGTTGGTATATTTGTGCAATGGAATATAATACAGTTACTGGGCAATGTGGATCTATATTTACTGACCTAGTAAAAAGTTCAAGTTATATATACTATTCTGTTACTATTCTGCATGATCTCATTTTTGCTTACAAATGGATATTCAATCACATATGTATAGATGAAATATCAACATATTAATAACAGTTACTGTGTTGTACAGACTCTGAAGTGATCCCTCAGGACCCCTGCCCCTTGTGTTCATTCTTGCCTCTGTGTAATCTCTTTCCCTCAAGTGTGGGCGGGCCCGGTGACTTGTTTCTAGCCAACAGAATGTGGCAAAAGTGATGGGATGCCACATGATTTTATTACACCATGTCATGTTAGCAGACTAGTAGCAGACTCTCATAAACTAGTCACTATGCCATGAACTGCATATGGCAAGGACCACATGGCAAGACACCAATTTAGTTGCTGGGGGTAGACTCTGGAATGATAGCCAATAAAAACGGGGGTGGAAACAGCACATGGGATGATGGTGATGGCACATGGGCGAAGTGGTGGTGGGCTGTCGATAGGCATTACAACTAAGATGAAAAAATGTACAAAATGAAGAATAATGTAAGCAAATATATTTAGAAAATAATAATAATAATAAAAACACTAAAGCTATCTCACAGTTAAAAGGAAATGAATTCCGCCAGACATCTTAGAAATCTTGGACATGGCCCTCCCTGGTGGCCCAGTGGGTTAAAGCGCAGCACTAAGAATTGAAAGCCACTTCTGCATGAGTTTGATCCCTGCCTGCCCCGAGGAGATCCACATGGCGTGGCAGACCTCTCCTGACCTGCCTGCTGCTCCCCTCAGCAGTGGACTTCGTCAATCTGCCTGTTCTGCTCCCCACTCTGTCCCTGGGTGAATCCTCTCACCCTCCGCATCTCTGGCCTGTACCCCAGTTCTGTATGAATAAATAAATCTTTAAAAAAAAAAACCTAAAAAGAAATCTTGGACATATCCCCTTCCCCAGTCAAGACTCCAGATGAGAACCCAGCTTTAGCCAACATCCTGACTGCATTCTATGAGTCCTTAATAAGTCCAGCTAAGCTGTCAGCAGTCAACTTAGATAACAAGGTCTTTGTCAAATAAAGGCAGAAATTGTGAGGTAATAAATGTGTGCATTGTTTTAAGCCACGAAATTTGTGGGAATGGGAAAGTAATAGTTATTTAGACCTGGATTAAGAAACATTTTCTGTAAAGGATCAGTAAATATTTTAGGTTTGCAACTATTGTGCTCAACCCTGCCCTTTTACTGCAAAAGCAGCCACTGATAAAACACAAAGGAGTGTGGCTATGTTCCAATAACACCATTTTCAAAATAGGCAGTGAACAGAGAGGGAAAAGACATTTGTGATGCATTTACCTGACAAAAACCTTGTTATCTAGGATTCTGAAAAACACTGCCACTCAATTTAAAAAGGTTAGATAATCAAATACAAAAATGGGCAAAAAAAAAAAAAAAGGCACTGCACAAAAGAGGGCCTCCAAAAATACATGAAACAGTGTTCAACTTCATTAGCTGTGAGGAAAATGGAAATTAAAAGCAGGAATGGGATAGACAATACCCATGTTGGTGAGGATGAGGCAGAAAGGTCAGTCCGATGTCTGAGGAGCCGTATCATAGGACAGTCACTTTAGAAAACAGTCCACATGCTTCTTCCAATGCAAAACACACACAGGCAGATGACCTAACAATCCCACTCTTAAACTTATATCCACACTAAAACCTGGACTGTATATTCTTAGTGGCTTCATTCAAATCACCAAAAGCTAGAAAAAAACCAAAAATGTATCAACGGGTGAAACTACTCAGCAACAAAGGAACAGGCAGATACATGAAACAACCCAAGAGAGGCTCTGTGAAAAGGGAGGAGGCTCAAAGGCTACACACTCTAGGACCTATTCACATGGCATTTGGAAAAGGCAAAACTGTAAGGAAAGAAATCAGATTAGCAGTTGCCAAGGTCTGAGGGTAGGAGAAGGGGATAGGCTATAAAGAAACATGAGGACACCTTTTAGGGTGATGAAAATATGTCATCTCTTGATTTCGCATTTGTTTAAATTCATAGACTAGTAAATCTGAAAAGGGTAGACCTTGCTGTTTGTAAATTTCACCTCAGTGAACCTGACTTAGAAAAAACAACTGACATGCCAGATACTGTCACAAATGTGAAGCAAAAGAAACTGGTTTATCCAGATCCAAATACTGTTTGGTTATATTGTACCTCAAGCTCTAGTATTTCTACTCCTGGTTATATGCCAAAGGGAAATGAGTCCAGATGTGCACCCAGATGTGCACACATGACACACTGAGAATATTCCTAACAGCTTTATTCACAAGGCCCAAAAAGGGAAACACTGCAAAGACACATGGAATGAACTGATAAGTTCTGGGGCATTTACATGGTAAAAACAATTACTATATACAATAACATTAATGAATCTCACAATGCTGAGTAAAAGCCAGAACTTAGCAAGTAAAGACTCTATGGTTCCATTTATATGAACGTCGAAAATAAATAAAATCAATCTCTGGTGATAGTACTTGGGATAGTGCTTTTTTTTGGAGTGGTTAGTAGTGGGAAGGGGCACACAAAGGGCTTCTAGAATAATATCAGGATTTTGCATCTTGGTCTGGAAGATATACTCATTTGTAAACAGTTCTAGCCCTCTATTACAGATTATACTTCAATAAAAAACTTAAACAACAAAATAAAACAGGCAGTGGGCCAGATTTAGTCCACAGGCCATAATTTGTCAATCCTAGATATAAATGGTGGGGTAACAGGAGAGTTAATTTTTTGCTTTGTTTCTCTATGATTTATAATTTCTTTAACACTAAGTGTGTATTACTTACATAACACAAAGTTTTAAGAATATTCATTTTTAATATAATCAAAGTGTAATGAAAAGAAGACAGAAAAACAAAAACTCTACTAATCTCATTATTAACTCAGCCATGTCCACCTTGGGCAATGAGAAGGAAATTCTTGACCAAAATCAAAATTTCAGCAGTCATGTTTTACTAGGCAATCAATGTAACTGGTCACGCGCTATCTCACCCTTCTGTGCCAGCTTTCTTTACTGCACTTACTGAAACTGCCCTACTTGTTTGTACATGTGTTTTTTTTTTTTTTTTTTTGTCTGTATTTAACCAGTAGAATGAAAACTTCATGGGTGCAGGGTCAGTATTTTTCACTCCTATATCCCCCAAAATGAGTAAAGGACAATCAATAAATACATGTTGAATAAGTAAATAGATACGTAGAGCTCAAAGAGTTACCAGCATATGGCCTAATCACTTGCCTTAATGAAAGAGAGAGCGGATGTTATGGCTTGAATCAGTGTAACCCCTCTCAACTCATATGAAGTTCTAATACCTGATGAGATAGTGTCAGTAGGTGAGGCTCTGCGAAGTGATGAGGATGGTGCTCTAATGAATGAGATTAGTGACTCCAGAGAGACACACAGCCCACTCTGCCATGTGAGCCCACAGCAAGCAGATACTGGCTATGAATCAGGCAGGAATGCTGGAACCTTGATTTTGAGCCCCTAGAACTGTGAGAAATAAATTTCTGCTGTTTTTAAGTTACCCAATATGTGATATTTTCTTATAGCAGCCCAAACAGACTAAAATAGCCCAAACAGATTAAAATGTATTGGGTTGTCTGAAAGGTCATGATACATTTTTTGTTTTGCATGATTTTTCTGACAAGCCAATAGTAATGCATAGCATGCCTATTTTCTTAAATAACTAAAACACTGGAAATTAAAACATTTGTACTATGTATATTATAACTGAGGGATAGTCCTTAAGAAACTGAGATTCAGTGGGTAATCCACCTTTGCCTCTAACAAAATTTCTGGTATCACCAGAAAAATCACTTGGAAGCCCTGAAAATGTAGGGATTCACAGTCAAGAAAAATCCAATTCTCTTGTAGATACATAGCGTCAAAGAGCAGGTAAAGATATAGCTAGCAAACTGAGATAGGCAGAGTTGATTCATAGACTCGATCTTAACGTTCTAAGAAAATGTCCTATCACTGAAAGTGAAGTCTGCTGCTACTGATGTAATGTTAGCATTTACTGAGCTCTTACTGGACTGAACACTTCACATATATTGACTCATTTGATCTTTACTACAACCCTAGCAGGGTCAGAGAGGTCAAACAACTTGCCCACACAGCTAGTAAGTAACTGAGATAAGTCTGAAGATTTCTGCTGCCAAAGTTCATACTTTCAACTCTTACGTTCTATGGCTTCTCTTGCTACAGAAAGGATCCAAACATTCAACAATTCGGTTTTAACTGGGCTGTCACCAATTCATCATCTTCATGATCATTACCAAGTTCTTAGAATATAAGTAAATATTCTTAGAATATAACATAACCATCTTCATGATCATTACCAAGTTCTTAGTAAGTCCTACTTTACTAAAAGTAAAGTGTTCAATACTATATACATGCCAAGAGAACCAGCAATTCTCTTTAAGATGCCAGTTTATACTGGCACAGGTTATTAATGCTTTATTGTAGCTTGTCTCTAACAAATGGCTATTTGTTGGCTGATGTAAAAGGAGCTGACAATTTCCCATGGTGGCTTTTACTGAGTAAGTCCCTATTTCACCACTCCAGACTGCCAACAAGTATCAGTTTCCACAGAAGTTACCCTGCCCCAGGGTAATCCCATCAGGTCTGGGATGGGGCACCAAATGTGAGAACAGAGCATTGTGAAAAGTCTCTATGCAGAGGACAAGGTTTTTCTGAAATTATGTAATAATTTTCCATACACATATTATCTTTCAAGACAAGTACCAATAATAAAATAAGAGGAAAAAAATTTTAATCACCTTAACATTTGCCTGGGCATACCAGAACACAATCCTGAAGCAGCTATTAATCTTCATCACTTAAAAAAAATGGCAATATTTCCCAAAATTTCTTTTCATTTCTAAAAGCTAGTCTAGAGGATGCATTCAATGTTTCTTCTTATTACTGCCTTAGAGTGACAGTTCATAAAATGGAACCGTATTTTTTTCCCCTATCTGAATTCTGATCCAGTAGCCCATGTAACTCACACTGCTCTTTAATTTTTCTTATGTCTCCAAGCTCTGGAACCTGCCAATCTCTTCTCTACCTCGAAATGCCTCATCTCCCCTCTCAGATAAAGAATTATTCATCCTCCTTGTGAAGGTGACTTTCCTTCCTCCTGTGCCTCTGATAGCATCTTCTCTTTGGGAGTATCTTCAATAACATATCAGGAATGAACCCTGCCATCTTTGTTAGATGACCTTCTCCTACACAGCTCCTAGGTTCCATCAACTTCACCCCACACACACCTTGAGCAATGACCCTGTAACAATTCCCATTTTTTTCTCACTACCAACATTCATATCCTTTCTGCTCACTTAGATGGGAACATCTGTCTTCCAAATGTTCTCTCTTGCCTCTGATTTCTGTGCTAAATTACAACTGTCTTTCCCATTTCTACTTAAAATGTTTTAATGGATTATATCTCATTCAAGGTCCACTGTATGGGATTCGGCCTTCCAAAATTAGTTCCCATCCACCATATTCTAATATGACTGCCATTAGGTTTTCTCCAACAAGAGAATCACAACATGTAATATACCTACCACTTATTGAATGTTTACTAATCATTTGTCTATTCTGCTGTTTGTTTTTAAGTTATTTATTTATACTAGCCTCTGAGAAGACAACAGTGAAGCTAACAGGCAAAATACTCTGGCTTCATGCAGTTTACAATACAAAGTGCCTATTTGGAATAATCAAATAAGTAAATTATTATGCATGTCATATGACAACAAGTTCAATTAAGAGAAACAAGGTAGAAAGGATGATAAGGAATGATAATGAGGGTCTGACTTTAAAAGTGTGTTCAGGGAACAACTCACTGAAAAGGTGACATTTGGTAGAACCAAAAGGAATGAGGAAGTAAGCCATGAAACTGAGGGAAGTTAATTCCAGGAAAAAGAAAGAGTAGAAAGCCCCTGCTTTCTACCCCATCATCAAGCAATAATAAAGAGGCCAGTATGACTGGCGCAAGTAAGGGAGTGTGTGCCAAGAGAAATCTGGGGCTAGATGATGTGCCAGTAACTCTGATTTTCACTGAGTGCTCTGAAAGCTTCAAGCTCTGAGCAGAAGAGGGTCACTATCTGACTTAAGTGTTAAAATGATAACTCTGATTGGTAGAAAAGAATCTACAGGGAGCAAGAATAGAAACAGGGAGTCCAGGCCAAAATCTGATGATCGCTTAGACCAAGGAAATGGAGGAGGACCAGATTTGCTGAGAATCTAAGAAAAAGAGAAGCCAATGATGACTTAAAGGTTTTTGGACTAAGAAACTGGTATGGTAGAAGAGCAATTTACTGAGCAAGGGGAGACAGTGAGAGGAGTACATAATTAAAGGGAATGGGAAGAAGATCAGGAATTCATTTTATATAAAATACGTTCTTTTAGGGTACCTATTAAATATTCAAGAAAATCTGTGAGTTAAACAGCTGGATATATGGCATTTCATGGGTGGTCCACACTGGAGATCACATGGAGATATAAATCTAAGTGTCATCAGTGTAGCTTAAGACTTGATGAGAATCCCAGGGTGTGAATTAAGTTGAACCCTGGGGGACTCCAACATTCAGAGACTTGGAAATGAGAAAATATGAAACATGGACAAGAAGGTGGAGCCAAAAGGTCAGAGCCTGTAAGTGTAATGTTATCATGAGAACTGGGTATTAACCACTATATTTAGCAACATGGTAGTCATTGCAACCTTGACAAAAGTAGTGTTAGAATAGTGAAGGGGACAAAAGCTGTCTGGAGTGGGTACAAGAAAGACTGGGATGGAAGGGGGTAGAGATAATGAGTCTAGACGAGTCTTTGAAAGCCACATAACCACACACTGAACCAGGTGCTTTACAGATTCAAAGGTAATTCTTCATCCTCACACCACCCCTGTGAAACAGTTACCACTTCTTATTCCCATTCACAGGTGACAATACTGAGGCTGAGAGAGTTTAAATGTGTTCAATGTGAGAATCTCTGAGTGACAAGGCCAAGACAAAACCAAGAATGTCTAATTCCCAGAGCAAATGATTGGTGACTCTGTGATAAGGCTCCCAATCTTTGGGAGAGAGCAGCAGTGGCCTGTTCCTGTAGACAAAGATTCACTAGTTCTTTAACAAAGTCCCATCCCTCTGAAGCTAGTCCTTCTGGGAGCACCAAAGCAGACGCCTGCTTTCCTTTGTGAACTGACAGTGTTCCTCTGAGACACTATGGTACTGACCTGAGTTAAGAAGCACTGATCCTTTGCCGTTTTTCACATCCACCACCCAGGAGGCTTCTTTACCCCCAGGGCCATCTTTCACTTTGAAGGCAAAAATACCACCAATTTTCTTCACAAACTGTTCCCCTTCCTGGAAAGAAAAATAACATCAGGAATTATATTACGTTCATTTTGCTGGCTTTTCCCCCAAACAAACTGAATGTTTAAATAGATACATGACGTGAACAGCTGGGCCAGCAGGCAATCCTTGAGCGCCCTTAGAATCTTTTACCAAGAAAATTCTGAAAGGCAACAACTTCCTCATCTGCTGAATCTTTGCTGAAAAAATGGCTTTCTGGACACAACTAGAAAGAGAGAGTTAAGGATGGGAGCGCAACATTTTCAAACAGAATAGCCTAAATTTGTCTCAGTAACTTCTGAAAGAGTCACTCTGGCCCTCTAGAAATGTAGAAGTTCCCACTACTCCCCACCTTTAAGCAGATAAGTTCCTTTACTTATACTTTTGGTTTCCCACGATAAGAACATAAGTGGTTCTGAGATCACAAGCCTTTTTTTCTTAATTAACTCATTTTCTGGATAAATATAAATAAGTATATATGTAATATATCACTACCACTTACTTTTGAATCCTGGGAAATGACAATAGACTAACAACAGAAGAAAGTAACCTTAGATCCATATCTCTGTAGGTTGGTTTCCTTTCTTCCTCCTTCCTCTCCCTTTTATTCTCATTCTGTTTCCTCTTTTATTACTGAAATGTTTATTGGTTGGAACAGTGACCAGCACAATAGGTGTTAGAGGAATAAATGATGGCAATGTACTATGAGCACTACGATGATAACCTGAAAGGTATCATCATAGTGCTTAGAATCAACTGCCAATATTTTCTGGTAATACCAAGAAACCAAAATGACTGTTAGAATTTGACAGTGAAAGAAAAATTCTCTACTTTGCCTTCCCTTGAAGTAATGTTCAAATTATCTTAAAATTAACTTTGAATAAAATTGACATGGGCTTCCCTGGTGGCACAGGAGTTAAGTCTCAATGCCATCACACTACATCCACTATGGCCTGAGTTCAGTCCCCAGCCAGGGAGCTGACCCAAATGGCAGTGCAGACCTCCTCTGTTTCCCCTGTTAGCCCCCTCCGCAGTGTATTTTGGTAGATCTGCCTGTTCTGTTTTCCATTTTGTCTCTGATGAATCTTCTCAACTCCACACCGAGTTCTTGTATGTATAAGTGAAAATATATATACATGTTAAAAAAAACTACTGATCACTTTGAATTATATAAAGATATATATGTGGCCAATTTCTTTTAGCCTCCATGTCTTTGCTGATGCCTTGTCCTGGGATACTCACCTCCTATCCTCCATTTTCATCCCTACCTCATCAATCAAGTCTCGCTTACAAGTTAACTCTTTGGAGAGACTTTTCTATATGCACTGGACATTTTACAAGGCCTTTGCACATGTACCATGTTTCTTACTAAATCTGTTATTTTTTTCTGGAAATTTTTTTTTCATATCTCTCTTTCCATTATGTCCCCTGAGGGCCAGTAAGCAGTACAACCAGAACACAATCACAGGCTGATTTAACTCTAAGTTCAATGTTCTTTCCATTTGACAATATCATACATCAAAGTAGGTCGTATCAACATTCCAAACTTTAGTCTATAAAAGCAGGGAAGTTTCTGTCACCATAAAATGAGTATTTTAAGAGTTCAAAGTATTCTCCCTAGTCCTTGAAACTTTTTAGGCCTCAATTTTCTGTAGAGACTATCTAGAAAGATGGATCAATAATACTGGCATGCCGGGCCACTCAAGAACCAGCAGCCTCATGACTGCCTACATCCACATCCTCTCTCTGCTAGTGCCTCAAGGATAGAGTGCTAGAATACGCCAAGTCAAAGCAAGAAAGCACTTATCCTGCTTGCATACTTGGAGAGAAATTCCCTCTACCTCAAGACAGACGTAAGATTAATATTCTACTGCTGTTACTTTTGACAACAAAACCTCTTATAAATCACATCCTTCAAGAAAACATTTTTAATTGAAGTGAAAGAGGATAAGGAATAGGGGAATTACAAAAGGAAAGAAAATATGCAATAGTTGTGAAACTGGAGATCATTAATACTAAGAAATGTTCTAAATGCCTCCTTCAGTAAAGAAGCACTTCTGTCTGAGTAGGCAAAAGGTCATGGAATAGGTCCTGCTGTAAACTTAATAGGAACAAAAAAATTAAGACAGATTCAAAGAAAGGCAATGGGGTATTGCTAACAAAGACAAAAGTAGAAATAAAATCTCCTGCCAGGCTTCATTTGCTAAGGCAGAAAATGTATGAATTGACAAAAGGGTCCAAGACTTTCACTTTCTAGTCCTACAAACAGGAAATTGACAATCGTGGGAAGGAGAAAAAGAAACAAGGGACAAGGCCTATGGGAGGGAGGTTATTGAGGGAGGAAAAATGAAGTAAAATGGGAGCAAAAGGCATACATTTGCAAAGTTAAAGAAGACTGAAATTAAAAACAGCACTGCTTGGTTCATCTCAATAAAGAAGTATTCAATGATATATAGTCCTTCCTCATATTGGGGATACTTTCTATTTGTATTTGGTTTCTTTATAAATGACAGAATAACACTGAAAACAATGCAGCAATTTAACAACAACTATCCTATGGATTGCTCTGTAGGCAAATACTAATGGCATAAAAAAATATATATAAAATTTCTGAGTCCTTATAGAGTCCAAGTTCATCATATTGGACACTTGTAATGAAAGAAATTTAAAAAAAAAAAACAGTAAGAAGAATGTATTTCCCTACTAGATAGGCAAAGACTTTTTTTTTTTAAAACCAGGCAACATAGCAGTGGAGAAAGGGTGAAGAACAGAGGCTTTCATGAATTGTTATTAAGTTTGGAAATTGTACAAGATATGTACAACGTTTGCTTTTCATGTTGTAGCTCTAACAGAAACACATGGCTTAAGTGTTCTGAATCCTTTTCTTATTTCAGCCCACTTTGTTCACTTTAATAGATATGTAATTGGAATTGTGTGACTGGCTGCAACAGTGCCTTGTTGGCCTCAAAATTAAAACCAATGATGAAATCCCAAGGTAACTTTAAGTTTGAAACAGTTAAGTCTGACTGAAGAGCTTTATTATGATTACTACCCATCAAGAATTATTGTACATAAAATAGATTTGCACTTGTAGTATAGCTTTTTAAAACCCAAATATAGGCCCTCCCTGGTGGCACAGCAGGTTAAAGCACAGCACTAAGAAGCTTAAGCCACTTCCACATGAGTTCGATCCCCGCCTGCCCTGAAGAGATCCACATGGCGAGGCAGACCTCTCGTGACCCGCCCGCTGCTCCCCTCAGCAGTGTATTTTGTTGATCTGCCTGTTCTGCTCCCAGCTCTGTCTCTGGCGAATCCTCTCACCCTCCGCATCTCTGGCCTGTACCCCAGTTCTGTATGAATAAATAAATCTTAAAAAAAGAAAAAACACCCAAATATACTGAATGATCCTAGTTTCATAAAATTGTTATGTCCGCTACACAGAGAGATGTCTGAAAGAATGTCAACACCACTGTTAACAATTTAGTGAACTTCTAAGTGGCATTTCAAAAGATCGAAAAATTCTTTTTTATGCGTCTATATAGTATGTTTTCCTAATTGAGCATCAAGCATACTGTAAGAAAAAACACTTAAAACTACTTTGAAAAAGTTAAGCATAAAAGATTTCTTTTTCAAAATAGTTGTGAAAATTCTTCTTCTGAATGATTTTAAGTAAATTATTTTAACTCAGAAGGAAATTACACACACACAGAAATTAATATCTTTACATATGAACCTTGTCGATAATTATTATCTCCCTGACAAAGAAAGGGCTGAGAAAAGAGCAAAAATAATTTATAACCTTTCTCCAATGTTATTGTTTTAACAGTATTTTGCAATAGTTTTCTAAATAACTCAAATCTAGAGATTTATATATCTCTGGAAGGCAGTCTTACCAGACTTACAAGAAAGATGTAATAGATACTCAGAAATTGAAAATATACTGAGTGCTTAGTGAATTAATATAAATTTTCAACTGTACTACTTCAAGACAATACCTGAAGTTATATGTAAGGCAATAGCTTCCTCAGCCAAGGACCTCCTTGGTAATATTTTATATAAATCGTATTTACCTCTTCAAGCTTCTTCTCAATCTCCTTAAATACAAGATTTGCCTTAAATCCATCAACTGCAGAGCTGGTTGGAACTGCCACAACTTGACGAGTTCTATAGAATGGAGGAAGAAAATAATAAATTTTATTTAATGGAGCCAGACAGATACTAGGTCTTTCAACATCTATATAGTGATTTTCAGAAACACTAAGAAGGGATGTTAGAAGTCTTATCCAGAAGAAACTTATATTAAGCCCATAGAACAATTAAGCTTTTCTTCCCTTTTTTTTTTTTAACCACATAATAAATGCTACCTAAGTGCTAGGCAACTCTCCTGAGACAAAGGTAAACCACAGAAACTACCCTTAATGAAGCTTATTTATATTAATGGAGAAGATACACAAACCAAGCAAAAGAAGAAGAAAGAAGTAGAAACATAGTTACTATGAAGAAAGTAAATAAGGTGAAAAAGATAAAGTAGATTTATTTGTGTCAGATATCCTATTTTAACTAGCCTGATCAAATAGGCCTCTTGAGAAGGTGATGTTTAAATTAGTTCTTAAATTATGTAAAATGAGATAGTCATGCAAAGATTTATGTGGGAAAGTCAGCTCTAGGTTGCAGGAACTGGGGGCCTTCCTGGCAGTACAGGTTTTAAAGTCAGTGCTATCAAGCTATCATCAGCCACTGCAGCATGAGTCTGATCTCCAGCCAGGGAACTAACCCACAGCAGTCCTCCTCTGTCTCACTCACTGCTCCCCTCAGCAGTATATTTCAGTCAATCCACCTGTCCTGTCTTCCACTCTGCCTCTGGTGAATCCTCTCACAGCACACACCTCTGGCCTATACTCCAGTTGTTGAATGCATAAATAAATTTTAAAAATCTTTAAAAAACAAAAGAAAAGAAACTACCTTAGCATTTCTGGGAACTATCAGGTCAGTATGGCTGGACCAAAGCAAAGGAATAGAAGGTCACAGAAACAGGCAGGACAACATATCAAGAGGGTTCATAGGTTATGGTCAGTTTGGACTTTATTTTCCATATAATAAGAAAAACTACAGAGTATAAACTGGAGAATGGCATGATCCACTTTACATGTTTTAAAAATTAAATCTGGCTGCCAGCTGGAAAAAATGGACTGTAAAGGAGCAAGTGGGAGTCAGGAGAGACAGTAAAGATGTTAACTGCAGTAGTTCAGGCAAGAGATGCTGGTAATTAGGACAGAACTGTAAGGGAATAAGGAGTAAGTAGAGGTTGGAGTCAAGATGTATTATTTACCTGTAATATAAGATACAAATTTAATGACCACCTGCCTACTGGTTGTTTGATACTTAAGAAACAATTATAGTTAATGGCCTGCTGTGGAAGAACAGTCTTTATAACCAGGGTGAGGATCCCAAAGGTTTCTTCTACTCACATCTATATGATTCTAAGCAGTCTACCTCATCTTTGTGTACCTCTGGTGGGGAGGAATGGAAGAAAGTGGAGAGTGTCAATGATTTTAAAGAATTAAATGGACTCCTGTGTGTAAAAGAGGTAAGGAGAGGGATTAGAATATTTCAATAGTTCAGAAGTGATAGTAGTCTTGACTACAATGTGGTAATCTGCAGTAGACATGGCGAGAAGGATGTAGCTTCAAAATGTATTTCTGTGATCAATTCTGTAGACCTTGCTGGAAATGAGGGTGCATGAAGGTAGAAGAGAGAAAGGGCAGGTATGACTCAGAGTAGGCCTGATTAACTGAGGGAACAGCAATGCCATTTATTGGGATGAAGAAGAATGTAGGGAGAAGAACAATCAAAGTTCCACATTAGGAATATTAAGTATAAGGTATCTGTGAAACAAGAAGGCAGTTAGGTATGAAAGTCTAGCTATGAGAGTCAGAAAAGTCTAACTGGAGATAAAGTGAGTGTATTCCTTAGCATAAAATATTTAAATTCGGGCCCTCCCTGGTGGCGCAGCGGGTTAAAGCACAGCACTAAGAAGCTAAAGCCCCTTCAGCATGAGTTTGATCCCAGCCCCGGAGGTGACTCACATGGTCTGATGCGGCAGACCATTCCTGACCCGCCCGCTCCCCTCAGCAGTGTACTTTGTTGATCTGCCTTTTCTACGCCCCACTCTGCCTCGGGTGAAGCCTCTCACTGCCCCTGCAACCTCCGACCTGTACCCCAATTCTGTATGCATAAATAAATCTTTAAAAAAATACATTTAAATTCATGCAAAATCGGTAAGTTCACCTTGAAGGAGTTACAGAAAAAGAGAGTTTTAGAAAACATCTTGTGGAACCCCACTATCAGAGATCTGGGAGGGAAAAAATAGAAGACAGTGATGCAAGAGGAAAACCAGAAGAGTCTGAGAGAGGAGAAAGAATCCTGGAAGGAGGAGTAAACTAGACCATATGCTGCTGAAGGTCAATGACCTCTGGATTTGGCAACATGGAAAAGTACAGGTGACTTTGATAAAAGCAGTTTTAAGGAAGTGGCAGAGGCAGATTATAGTGAAGAGTGTGAAGAGTGAATAAGAGAGGAAAGTGATGGTGGCTCTTTTGTACATTACTTTTAGAGGAACAGTTAAATGAAGTGGTTTCTTGAGGAGTGTGGTATTAAGGAATGTTGTTTTTGTTTTAAGACTGACACGTGAAACATGTTTGATGACAGCAACGAGCCAGTAAAAAGGAGATAGAAGTCTTGAAGTGATAGAAATCTTTTCCCCAGCTAGCAATATGTAGTGCAGTACTCTCATGACGATGAGCCAAAGATCCCGTCGGTCCAAGATGTGAAAATAAACAACTGATACTCTACAGTGGATTGTGTTGCTAATGCTTTCAAATTTAAGATATAGTTTCAAATTAGGGTGGTTAATCAGTATATAGTACTATCATAAGTCAAGGAAGACCTGTACTGTATGGGGTGGAGTCCAGACAGTAAGTTCCCATTGGTCAGAGATGCCTTTTCACCTTGTTTGGTTCGGAAAGCTCATTGAGCTAATGAGCACCCAATTTTTCATCCAGATTAGAAAAATAGTTAACATGTAAGGTTTTCGTCAATATTTTCTAGTCCCTCAGTCCTTGCAATTTATTTGATGTGTTCTACCCTTTACATGGAAAAGAGATTACTCACATTACAAAAGGATGCTTCTCTTGACTTCTTTATATACAAAGTTCTTTTATTACAAAACAAATTCTGGAGTAGAGGGTAGAGTCCAGAAAGCTGGAGTAGGGGGTGGAGTCCACAAGACTCTGCGGAGTTCCTTTAGGACATCCTTCCCCTTAACAATTGTATCTCCTATTACGTGTATGAATTCCCTCTACATTTCTTGCAGGTTTCATTCTAAAATCTAAACTTTAGAATGCAGGCATTGCTTTAACAGCGATCAGATTGTGGTCAGGCCTGAACCAGAAATATGACCACCCCATTGTGAGAAGCCCTTGTACTGCATTCTTCAGGGCCATGATGGTGACACTCTGCCTAATGCTTAATGAGATATTTGTTTCTTCCAAGTATGCTGATAACATCAGCACCTGAAAAATGCCTGCAGTGGTTTCATATTGTCAATAGTCTTATGATTGACCAGCCCTAGACTTCCTAGCACCCAGGGACCCAAGGATGAAGAAACTCTCCCTACTCCTGCATGTTCCCATATTCCTTTCTTTCCTGTATAATCTTCCTAATCTTGCCATTAGAAGAGCAGTCTTTTCTGACTACTGACTCTGCTGTCCTCCTGACAAGTTGCCTTGTCAGGAACACTAACAGAACACTTTCTTTATGGAAACAACTTCATGGTTCAGAGTCTGGTTTTCTGAGCTCAAGGGATATCACCTGGTTTGGTCAATAACAAGACCAGCAGCACAGAGTAACCAACTAAACAGGGGCTTTAGACTCGGACAGATGAGGGTTAGAATCTTGATCAAAACCACTTAAGACTTTTTAGATAAGCTGATTTAATTGTAATCATCAATCTTTTCAGGATTAAGCAAAGAAGTGCAAGTACTGAGTGTGTTACAGGACCTCAAAAAATGGTTGTTAAAGAAATATTAAAATTCAAAAAGAAGAAGAGAAATAACCCAATTAAAAAACAGCCAAAAGCTCTAGGTATTTCTCCAAGAAAGATATACAAATGGCCAATAAGCACATGAAAAGATGCTTTACATAATTAATCTTTGGAGGGATGCAAATCAAAACCACAATGAGGTATCACTTCACACCCACTAGAGATGGCTAAAATTAAAGACAATAACAAATGTTGACAAAGATATGAATAACTCAGACTCCACGCAATGTAATATTATTTAGCCATGAAAAGGAATGAACTGCTATATTCATCCCTACAACATGGGTGAACTTTGAAAACATTATGCTAAAAGAAAGCAGCAGTCACAAAAGACCTAATACAATATGAAATGTCCAGAGAAGACAAATCTGTAGAGATAGAAAGTGATTTCAGGTTGCCAGAGTCTGAAGGAAGAGGGATTGGAGAGTGACTGCTAGTGAATACATGTTTCTTTTAAGGGGTGAGAAAATGTTCTAAGGTTAATTTTGATGGTAATAGCACAGCTGTGATATATTAAAAAAAAACACTGAATGTCTACTTAAAATGTTGGGGGGGGGGGGAATGACAACACAGGGGAGGAAAGAACCCAAAGGAATATGGTGATGGCTCACAGCTGATATGATGGCAGAACTATAGGCACTACGATGATGTATGAAAATAAAAAGATAAAACACACTGGACCCTCCCTGGTGACGCAGCGGGTTAAAGCACTGCACTAAGAAGCTTAAGCCACGTCCGCATGAGTTCGATTCCCGCCTGCCCCGGAGGAGTCCACATGGCGCGGCAGACCTCTCCTGACCTGCCCGCTACTCCCCTCAGCAGTGTACTTCATCCATCTGCCTGTTCTGCTCCCCACTCTGTCTCTGGTGAATCCTCTCACCCTCTGCATCTCTGGCCTGTACCCCAGTTCTATATGAATAAATCTTAACAAAAAAAAAAAAAAGATAAAACACAAATTAAAAAAAATAAAGTCAAACAATCAAAAAATGGATGAATTATATGGCATGTGCATTATGTTTCAATAAAGCTGTTAAAAATAATCTTTCAGGCCCTCCCTGGTGGA